AGACTATTTTCCATAGAAAGTTTCATAAATTAATGTGCAATGGAATAATTATTGTGCTATAAAGACTATTCACATAGAATTGTGCTTCCATTTTTCAAAGCTTAATAAGCGCTTCAACGAGATAGTTGAGATACAATCGCGATGAAAGATATTTTATTGAGTATTTATGATATTTTTATGTATTCATTATATGAGTTTATTAATAGTTAAATTAAAAATCGATAGCAAATAAACCAATTGGATATTTAATTTTTGGATATTTTTTAATAAAACACTAGTAATCTTTAAGTTTGATTCTAATAAATAAATAAGAGCAAATTCTCTATTAAAAAATTAATTGTAAATTATAATTTATTAAAATTATCAATCATCATATTTAATCCAAAATTCGTTTCTACCTATTTCACTTTTATATTTGATGCCATCCTTTCTAATTGCTTTCTTTTGTATTATCAAAACACTCTAAAATTCAATCCATAATCTGTTTTTCATCCAATCTAAACCACAATCCGATATTCTGATCTAAATTAAGAGATGAATATATTTCAATTAATAAATATTGTTCCACTCTCCAGATTTGATCCCGTTTATCTAAAATCTTCCTTCGTATTTGATGAAATAATCATAATTTTGTTTTTCAATCAGATAAGTTTACTGATTACCACAACAATAAACTAATAATTATTAGCTAAATTAATCTATAATGGGGATTTGTTATATTTATTCCATTAAAATCTTATCATATATAATCAATTAATTGAGTCTGTTGATTCTTCCAAATTAAATTTCACTTAGCTAGATTTTTCAGTGACTTATCAAACCAACTTTAATTAAGTTTTATTTTCTTTACGTTATCCAATAGCTCTACATCTATATGAATTTTGAAATTCTAATTTGTTGAGGATAATTTTATATTAAGAAAAAAGTAGTGAATTTCTATTTTAAGACTTATACCACTAATCAAAATAGCATACTATTTATCTATTTAAGAAGAAGCTCAAACTTAGTTAAAACTTTGAGCTTATTGTGTTGACTGCAGAAAAGTGAATTCTTGATATTTAGAATATGGGATAATTATTAGACTTTGAAATTGACATTGTAATAATTCTTGGTTTGCTTTAATATATTAAATTATCTTGTTTTAATCAAATTGAGTATTGAGTGAGTTTAATTTAAATACAATTTAACTTAGAACATCATTTTATATCTCTGTTTGAGGGGAAAGAAAAGGATGTTTCGGATGGAAATAAAAGTACAATTTTATAATGATAGAACTGATCAAATAAGAGATATGCGAAATCGGTGGTTGAGAAATTCCAATAATCAAGGAATAAACCAAAATCAAGTAATAAAAATAACTAAATCAACATATATTTAAATAAATATTGATAATTTTATAATTAAGGAGATATGGAATCAATGACCCCTTCTCTGCTTCTCTACAGTTATCGCCACTTGAAAGTAATTTTTACAAAGTGCTGCTTTCTGAACTACTTCTATTAGGAATAGCAATAAAAAATTATAATTTTCGAATATTATTTAAGTAATAAAAATGATTATCAATTTGGATAACTTCAAAGTGAAAGTTCCCAACTTAAACATAAAAGGAGAAGATTTTTACTTGATTTTAAATGTATGCACTTTTTGAAAGGGAAATAACTAAGAGAAAAGCAATAAAAATGAAGCGCAGGATTATGAAATTTTCAATAGCAATCTCGCTTAAGATTATATTGGAATTGAAAGGAATGATGTGATTTGCTATCAAATAAGATGAGTAATTAATAAATTAGGGTTCGAATAAAATATCAGATAGTTTATTATATATAGGTATGGCTAATTGAAAAAATTCATTTGGGAGAGATTATTAATTAACATCTAAGTTGATGCAAATTTACTTATCATCATAAATTGAATTGCATCAATTTTATCATTGTTACAAGTTTTGGAAGATGGATATTAGAAATAATTAATTGCAATAAGAAAATATTAATGAAAATCACATCTCAAGTAATTGTGAGTCAATTATTGTTTGAGAGTATTAGAAGTTAAGTAAGAGTTTGAGGATGATGCTTTAATAGATTTTTTTGATTTAATAGACATATATTTGAAAGATCAAGAATGAGGAAATGGATGTGCATTCAGAACAACCAAATAATTGAGACTCTAAAATTAGGTGAGAGAGTTTATGAATTTTTCCTGTAGTTTTAAAAATTTTAAACTATTATTAAAGAATTAAAAACTTTTAAATATGTGATTCTAAAACATTAATTAAATAATGTCGAAATTTTTACAAGAAGAATCAGAAGGATCAGATCAAGAACCTTAAAATGAAGGCTCTAAGTTCTTGTAAGTAGAAGAAGAAAATGAAGCAGAAGAATAAGTGGCTCTAAAGGATGAGGGACCTAAAAATACAAAAAAAGAAACAAAAAAAAATAAAAATAAAAAGAATGATTCAGATGATGAATTAGATAAAATACTAGCATCTAAGGCACCCTAAGAATAAGAATTGGATGAAGAAGCAAAAAAGAAAGCTGAAAAAAAGAAGGAAAAAAAAGCAAAATAGGCAGAAAAGAAGAAAAATGTGCCAGAACAATAGCCATAATAATAATAAGCATAGGTCCCCGAAAAAAAACCAGAGAAACCAGGAAAAAAGCTAAATGCTGCAGCTTAGAAAGCACTTGAGATGCAAAAAATAAAGGAAGAAGAATAAAGAAAAATAAGGGAAGAAGAAGAAAGATTAAGGAAATTAGAAGAAGAAAGAATAAGAATTGAATAGGAGGAAGAGGAACGCAGAAAGTAAGAAGAGGAAAAGAGAAGGTAAGACAAGTAAAAGAAAAAAGATGAGTTATTGAAGAAGGGGGAATATAAAACAAAAAAACAACTTGAAGAGGAGGAGAAGCTTAAATTCATGAGAGAATAATTAGGAATTAAAGTAGATGATGCTGGTAATAAATCGAACATTGTGAAAAAGAAAAAAAAACAACCAGGCCAGCAGAATCAATAAGTAGAAGCAACAGTATAAAAACCAGAAGAAACTGTACAACCTGAATAAAAAGTAGAATAAAAGCAGCCTGAAAAATAATAATAAGCAGCAGAAATAAAATAATAACCTTAGAAATAATAATAATAATAATAATAATAATAATAATAATAATAAAAAGTAAAAGAGGAAGTGACCATAAAATAAAATGAAGTTGAGGATATCGAAAGTTGGGAACAATTTGTTGAGGAAGGAGAAGCGGAATAACTATAACAGGAGAAAGATAAATAAGAAAAACAACAAGTAGAAGATTAAAAAAGATAATAAGAATAATAAATATTACAATAATCTTATTCTTCAACAATAAAGAAAGAAATTTTAGATTTATACAAACCTGTAGGTGAATTAAGATCTCCTATTTGTTGTATTTTAGGACATGTTGATACAGGTAAGACAACTCTTTTAGACAAGATTAGAAATACTAATGTTTAAGAGGGTGAAGCAGGAGGTATTACATAATAAATTGGTGCTACCTTCTTTCCAGCCAAGAAATTGAAAGAGGAGCTAATAAAAACTTAATAGTTCTATCCAGTTGATTGCAATATCCCTGGATTATTAATTATTGATACACCTGGGCATGAATCATTTTCCAACCTAAGAACTAGAGGATCATCTTTGTGTGATTTAGCTATTTTAGTTATTGATTTAATGCATGGATTAGAAAATTAAACATTGGAATCCTTAGAACTATTAAAGTTGAGAAAAACTCCATTTATTATTGCATTGAACAAAATAGATAGATGTGTTGAATGGAAAAATAAGAAAAATGCCTCCTCATATTATCAATTATAAAATCAAACTAAAAACTGTAAAATGGATTATGATACAAAAAGACAATAGGTGATTACTTAACTAGCAGAGAAAGGATTCAATGTTGCCTTTTTTTGGGAGAATGAAGATCCTAAAACTTACATTTCAGTCGTCCCTACATCTGGATTCACTGGAGAAGGTATTCCTGATTTGTTGTCCGTAATCGTGAAATACACATCAGTGTATATGAAGAATAAAATTAAAGTTAAGGAATAATTCAATTGTACTGTGTTAGAGAAGAAAGTTACAGAGGGACATGGTACTACAATAGATTGCCTATTGATTGATGGTCAAATAAAAAAGGATGACAAAATTATATTAGCAGGTTTCCAAGGCCCCATAGTAACTAAGGTGAGAGCTCTTTTAACTCCTCATCCAATGAAAGAAATGAGAGTTAAAGGCGAGTATATTCATCATGATATTATATATGCATCTATGGGTCTAAAAATATCTGCAGTAGGTTTAGAGGAAGCTATGGCAGGATCTCAGATGTATTTGGCTAATTCCTAAGAAGATATCGATAGAGCAACCGAAATAATTAATAATGAGATGGAGGAGGTCAAAAAATACATAAAACTATAAAATTAAGGAGTGGGAGTTGCAGCATCTACTTTGGGTTCATTAGAAGCTCTTCTACAATATTTGAATAGTTAAGACATTCCTGTTTCATATGTTAGCGTTGGGCCAGTATCAAAAGATGATGTAATGAAAGCCTTGAAAAATGTGCTGTTGGAAGATGTAAATAGAAGAAAGAAAGAGTATATATATATGTAATTTCTAGATATGCTTGTATGTTGGTTTTCGATGTAAAAATATTGCCTGATGCTTAGAAGTTTGCTGAGGAAAATTAAATCAAGATTTTTGAAGCAAACATCATTTATCATTTATTTACTAAGTTTACTGAGTTTATTAAGTAAGTCAAAGAAGAAAGAAAGAAAAAGGAAGCTGCTGATGTTGTATTTCCCTCATTATTAAAGGTATTAAATCTTTAATACTAAATTAGATAGTTCGTATTATCAATACAAAGGAGCCATTAATTTTAGGTGTTGAAGTTGAATAAGGAATATTAAAAACAGGAACACCTTTATGCATTTATGATTAAAATAGTAACAAAAATAAAATTGGAATTGTGGAGACTATTGAATTAAATCATAAGAGTTTGAAAGAAGCCAGAGCTACCACAGGAGCAGTTGCCTTAAGAATTGGAACAAATTAAGCTATATAGGCTGGAAAGCAAATCACTTTAGAAACAAAACTAGCAAGTTTGGTATTTAATGATTTCATTTCCTTAGATTACAAGAAGAGCTATTGATATATTAAAAGAACATTACAGAGAAGACTTAACTTTGGATGACTGGTAGTTAGTAAAAGACTTAAAGTTATTTTTAAACATTGTTTGAAATATATTACATTTAAGCAACAAGATTTAATTATACAGATATTTCTTTTATTATTTAAATATATATATATGAAATATACTGTCTCATTATTTTATAATATGATTCTTCAATGTTATTTAATCTAATTAAGATTACAAGACATTTTCAATTTAATCATTTGCTTCAAATCTGGCTAGGTATGACCAAGTAATTTTGACTTTACAAATTATAGTAAAATAGAGTGCAGAAGACATTTTAGGGCTATGAAAATAAAGAAATTGCACTCTCATCAGAGGAAAGGTCAGAGAGAGATTTTAAAATAGAGAAAAAATATTACTTTGAGTAGATTCTCAAAGATCAATGCAAGATAAAAATACTTAAAAATGAATATAGAAAGTGATTTTACTTTGAATAATGCTGTGTTAATTCTTATTATATATATATTTAAATTACAGAATATAAATTTTTATGGTTCTTTAAGAATTGCTAATATTAATTAATCTTCATTTTATTCACAAACCGATTTGATTTAACTATTTAAATGTAAATTTTCTGTTAAATTTTTAATATTATTTTTGTTTGAAAATTAATTGGTCTCTATTTCCATGTAGAGACTATAAACCATTTCTAGTTCGGCTTACGTTACCCGAACTGATTTATTGTGAGGTATTTGCTAGAGAACTTCACTTGACCACCTTTTGTCAATGAAGAGAACTTTAGCCAAATTAATACCTTTAGAGTGTAAGCCGAACTAGACTTGACCCAAAAGATAAATATAACTAGATTTTAAAGAATCTCTTTTGAGGATGGTGGCAATCTACTTAAAAAGAATGATTTTTTATTTTATTTTTTTCGGATATATATAAATATTTTATATTACAATTCCTTCATTATTATTACAAAATCTATTCTTATTTAAAATAGTTTATTTTATGAATTAGATAAGGATATATATATTGGTTCACCTAACCATTAGATAATTTATATAATTTTATAATAATTTCTATTGAAAATGAATATAAAACTTTAAAAAAAAAAAAAGATGAGATATTAATATAAAAACTGAGTAATTTTAAGTGTTTGCAATGTGCAATAAGTTATTATTCAATATTTAATATTATTTTATTAGATCTATTTAATGAAAATGAATCAAAAATAATTATTGTTAGGAGTCCACACTTTTTTTTCATATAATCTTGGCAAAGTTATTAGCTTTTATAGTCTTCTTGGTGTTAATGGATTTTCTGAGATTAATGATGGTTTAGGGTCCAAAAGTCGTAAATTTGTATTTGCTAATTAAAATACTTATGTATGTTTTTATTCTAATTCTTTTTTCTTCAAACTTCCAATCAATTATTTATTTTGCTAATGTCAAATAAAACAGTACTTCTTCGATTTACAACTTTGTTGTTTAGTTTGTAATAGTTTGCCAATACTCCAATCTCTTCATTTCCTTTTCACTCATTTAATTTGGTTTCAAAGCAGGAAAATCGCTTTGTAATTTTGATAATGGATGGTCAATTTTATAAGTAACTGCAAAATTATTATTATTCATACTTGAGCTTGGACTTTTATTTCTTTATGGCATAATAAGTTCTTCTTTTTAGGTTGCTGTCAATGCTGGTACTTCATTGTCAATAAATGGTTATTCATGAAACGTTTACTAAACATGAGTAGCACTAAAAAATGGGGGTCTATTGATTGCATTTTCAAAGCTAGAAAATTTGTTTTTTGAACTTTTTGCCTTTCTCCTTCTTTATTTTTCTTCCTCTAACTTTTCTTACGCCTCACTATATTCATTGTGCTAGGTTTTCAAGAATACTTAAAGGTCCTTAATTTTTTATTTGTTTTCCTTTATATTGGAAACAATCTAGAATTTATCATTTGGTTACCTGTTACTTTATTTCATTATATTCCATTAATTTAATGTCTGAAAGTTAATTTCAATATTTATAAAAGTAAGAAATCAACTTAAAAAAAGAAAATCATCAATTAATAATAGAAACGCTATCCATTCTAATGCTATTTTGATTTATAGACAAGAATTATTGCAATAATAATCTTTTAAGATATTGCAATGACTCAAGGATAAATGAGTTCAATTAAAATATTTACATCAACAAGAATGTGATATTAGACTTTTAAAGCAACTTTTGGAATAGCATCCAAAAATGAAGAAATTGATATAGCTCAAGAAATCTATTATTGTAAATAGAAACAGAGAGTTATATACTATTAGAAATTCTAATAAAAAATTTTTAGATAAATAAAAATCATGATTGATATTATTTCCTTTTTGATTTTAGATTGTCTTGTAATAAATAGTTTTCTTTTTATAGTAAATTTAACTTTTCCTCCAAAGCTTGCATCTTTAGTTAGTCAATTTGTTGCATCTCTTAAAAATATTGAATTTAATTTTCTAATTCTGCCACATAATTATTATCCTAAGTATTATTATGAAGATGAAGAGTTTAAATAGACTCTTTGAACTATTCTAAGCTCTTTCTTAATTCATTTACTTCATCTTCCATTTATTTATTACTTTGTTTAAGAATGGCGTTTTCTTCTATTAATCTCTTCATCTTTCTTTAAACATCTGGTGACATCACTCCTTTTACTTACTCATGTATCTTTTCATCAATAATTTATTAATATTTTCGAATTTCCTCTTCCAGATAATATATTTTTTGTTGTTATTTTTAATTAAATTAATTTAACTCGTCATTTTCCTTCAAAATGTCTTTAAGTCTAAATTCCAATTATTCTACTATTTCTTTGTATACATTAAGTTATTCTAAAACATGAGATATATCACTTTATTGTTCAATAATCTTTATTAAACTTAATAACATTAAATACTTTCTATTATTTTATCAGTTACTATTGCAATGTGTTAACTTATTACTCCAAATACTAATTAATATTTATTTATTGTTCCAACACTTGTAACATTTAGTTTTGTTTATCATTGTCAACCAAGTCTTAACCAGTGGATTAATTCGATTGATGGTACTCGAATTACTTTTATTCAAATGTCTAATTTAAAGGTTACGACTATCGACGATCGTAAGGTTTATAATTATTATTGAATGAGGTTGATCTAACTTATTTTATTTCAACTTATTTTATTTACTAAGACATAGTATATGTAGTTGTTAAATAAATTAATGTAATAAGAATTATTATTACCTGAAGATATTGAAGATAAGAGATAACTAATCATTGTATTAGAATAAGCTCCATTAGAAATTGCAACAATAAGACAACAAGTAGTTTTACTCAATGCTGATGAACATAAGAATTACATCAATTAAACATTGAATAAAGATTATTCACTTTATAGACCTGATATTTTGCATCATTGCTTGCTTAGTCTGATGGATTCCCCATTGAATAAGGCAGGAAAACTAAAAATCTATGTTCACACAGCTTAAAACGTCATACTTGATATTAGCCCTAAATTAAAAGTGCCAAGAACTTATGAATCATATGCAGCTTTATTCGCATAAGCCTTGCATAAACTTAGAGTAAGAGCTGTAGAAAGTTCAGAAACATTAATAAAAGTTATCAAAAATCCTATTACTGACCATTTACCTAGCGAAGCTCTCAAAATAGGTACATCTACATAAGCCAAATTAATTGATATCAAATAATTTGTAATATATTTGGAATATTATTCAATAGATTAAACAACCAAACCTTGATCAGAACAAACCAATAGTGTATGTGATAGGTGCTGTTTCTAAAGGTAATCCAGGAATGGAAGCTTAATATGTTGATGAATGCATTTGTATATCCTAATATTCACTAAGTGCAGGATATTGTTTATAACGAATTTCAAATGCTTATGAAGAACTTTGGAATATTAAATGAGTATAATTAAAATATTTATTATTTGATGGCAACTTTAACTACCTGATTTTATTTCAAGGTGTTATGATTTCTATTAAAATATTTTAACCTTGAGGTAAAGAACTAAAGCAGTTGATTTGTAACTCGTTTAATAATGGAAAAATTAAAATCAAATCTCATAAAATTTTGGAAAATTCAATGATTCAAAGTTATTCCTTTACATAAAGAGCAAGATTATTAAGCTCAAAAATTATAACTTTTGATCAATTGAACTTATGAAATCATTGTAAAAGAAAAGTAAGTATTGAAAAAAGAAAATCATATGTATAATTAATTGAATGTGCCAGTTAATCTAAAAACTAGAAAAAACAAATTATAAATATTAAGCTATAAAATTTAAAACTTTATTAATTTATAATGAATTTATTTCATTATATAACACTAGTAAAATCATTTGTTTTGTTTTATTTTAAATTTTTATTCTTTTATTGGCTATAAAATTTTTTTAAAGAAAATTTCTTACTCAATCAACAAATGTTCTGACTTCACGCTTCTTAATAGTTGAGATCTACTAATCTATTTGGAGTCTTCTCTTTCAGAGGATGTGTGATGACGTTTGATTTTTTGCATTAATACTAATTCCATTTGATCTTTGATGTTAATCGGTTTAACATTTTTATTTTCTTGTCTTTCAATTAATTTTGCAAATCTATAATTTGTTCTCTGTGTCCTATGATCAGGAAGTATTAATATGTCAGATTCGCAATTATGGTTCAATTTTTATCTTTGCAAAGTTGGAAGATCATCTGATGTCTTGCAATTTGGAATAGAAGTTCTCTAATTATAATAGAGATAGTTGTATTAGCGTATGGATTGTTAAATCTATGAGTTTCTGTTCATTAATTTATTCATCCTTTTTTCGAATGTACTATTAAATTAATCGTAATTTAAAATTGGTTATATGAGATTAGTATTAATTAATTGCAGTTGGGGGACATCTTCTAAACTTGTTATGCTCATGCAAACACGATTGTTGATTCTGTACAGCTTCTTTTTGACAAATAAATTTAGCAATTGATATGGTTATTTGTAATCAATATTTTTGGAGTTGTAATATTTATTAAATAAGTATTGGACATAAGTAAAATCTATTTTATAATTGGCAATCTTAGGATGGATAGGCTCCTCTATCAATTTTTGTGATCTTATTAATTTCATTCTTTCTAACTGTAACCTATACTATATCATGGATTATTACATACTTTTTACTATTTAAAAATGTCATCCAAGGTAGTCCAGTTATAGTTTAAATTTCTAATTATTTGAATAAATTTAATATGCTCTTTGATAGAGACAGAAGAATTGATAGGGAAATGTAGTTTGTAATAAGAGAAGGTGAGATTGGCTATTTACAAAATTTGCTACTTGACTACTTCTAATTAAGATTGAGTCCATTTTGATTTGATAAGTAATTTTTCTTCGTTTTGAATTTCTTAATCAATCAAATTGATTTAATATTCACAAGTGGGATTTTGTTCATTTAGGAGAGCTATCTTGGTTAGTAGTATTAGATGTTCACGTTTCAAAAATAATAGGACAAGGTTATATTTCATTAATTTTTATTATGTTAAGAATATGTTAATGTATTAGGTAATTATTCATTAGATGTTTAAATATCTTCAAGTACACAAGGGTAGAGAATGCAGAGAAGGGTTACTAGATGGAGAGTGTTAGTAGAGACATTGAAAGTAATATGAATGCTGAATTAAGTAAATATGAGTAGAATCTGTATTTAGGAGCTCATGAGGATTCATTCATTTAGAATCCTGAAACAAAAATAGAGGAATTCGAAAACAAGGCAAATTTTTAGGATTGTGAATAAATAAATGAAGAGGAGACAATACGATAATTTATAGATGATATTCCTCATATCTCATTTTCTTAAACTGAATTTATTAAAGAAATAGGAGAAAGAGCAGTGATGGCATTTACTTCTGTGATTGATAAAATGGAGGGATTTGAATTATTAGAAGAAGAACAGGACTTCAATTTTTGGATTAAATACATCGAGACTCCTGAAAAATTTTAGATTGGTATAATGAAATATACATACACTTTGAATACTTCGATTGATTCCTACATAGAATTCATGAGGGATTTGCAATTATAAAAATAAATGGATAATAGTATTGATGCGTTTGAGATGCATTATGAAGACATAAATTTATAGATTAATTACTTAAGATATAAAAAGATTATGTTCATGGACCCACGAGACTTTTTATATATTAAATATACTGATAGAAAGGGAGATGATTGCATAGAGATTTCGAAATCTGTAAATGTTGATCATTTTCAACCTTAGTAAGTTATGATATTTATTATTGTAGAGAATTGTCTACCAAATAATGCACTAGGGCTCTGTTATTATTGAGTGGGAATCAAATCAAATAAATTGAAGAAAATAAAATTATGATAACAACCTATTCTGAATGTAATATGAAATTGAAATTAAAGCCTGTAATGACAAAGTAAGCAAGCAAAAATGAAATAAAAAAAATGGTTAAAAGATATCGTGATCATTTTCATCAATGATGTAATTTTTTATTATTTTTTTTATTTAATTTTGATTAATTATAATGGATTAGGATAATTATTACTAAGATAGATTAGAAGTTGAATCTCTCTAGCAACGTCTAAATAAAACTAATTTTTTAGAGGATGACTTTGAAAATTTAAATTATTAATTCAAGCCTAACTATCTGAGAACATTGTAGCCAGTTTCTTATAGTGATACTGAAATTAAATCTACTCGTAAACAAACATGTAAGTTTAAAGTTCTTTATAAACGAACTGTTCCACTAAATCTGAAATTTGAATAAAAGAGTTAATCCCAATGTCATTCAGAATCAAAATCTCAAATTGTGAAAATTAGAAAAAGAATCGCTAAAAAATTTGTTAAAAAAACAAATCCCAAATGAATTATTATTATATATATATATAAATATTCAACAAACCTAAATAGAATGCAGTTCCAACTATAGTTTGGATCAAGGTAATTTTGTCTATCAAATATTCTAAAGCAATCGAATGATTTCAAATATCTCTTTTTCTTAATTGGTTAAAGTCTATTTGATAATTATACTTTACCACTCAAGACTATCTGCTTATTTCTCAAAATCAAAGAATCACAAGAACAGAATAATTATCAAATAAAATAATCCTTTCAATTCAAGTTTATTGAAAGGAAGAAAACATAATATAACTTCACAAAAAATTATCATTTACCAAAGTCTGAATAAAAAAGAGATGATAAAAAATTTAAATTATTTCGGAATAAATAATTTGAAACACAGTATAAATAATTATGATACTCTTTCCAATTTCGTTAGTAGTATTAGTAACGCAATAATATTCAATCAAATATTCTCCTTTTGCTACTTTGTAATTGACTGTTGTGTCTACAATATAAGCTTCTCTACAAAGGACCTATGTATTTGCTTAAGAACTACTTAAAGATGTTCTCCTTTCTTGGAATATTCTCTCTCTATTTGAATAAACAAAGCGAGAGCTGTGCTAATATTAAGTTTAGTTTATAGGATTGAAAGAAGTCTGGAGAGTATAGTCTTGTATTAGAGTTTAATCCTCATCTGATGAACCTTCTAAAGTTGTATTAAGTTGTGAATCCTTTTACTTGCATTTAATAATATCCTTTTCAAAGAAGATTTCATTGTTTATTGAGAGTATGGTATATTCTTCTGGAAAGCATTCCTAAAAGTATTTAAACTCTCCGATTGCCATTTTATAATGTGATGTAAGATTTGAATTAGATTATTTAGGTTGAGCTTAATGCTTATTGGGACCTGGAGATTTTGATTTTGATCTTTAATTCTGATGAAATTCAGAACCTTTTTTTTAAGTTGAAATGTATGATTATTGCTTTGACTGTTTATAATAATTTTTTATCATTTATTTATAATTACTCTCAGAAATTATTATTGATTATCATATAAAAATTGCATCAATACATATTAGAATACCAGATTAATTTTTCAATTAACAATCAATGAAATCATTTTGAACTTGCTTAAATCTTGTCAAGTTTTTCTAGCTTATCTAATTTATCACTTCCTAGAATATTTTCCTTTGTAATCTCTATAAGTAAGTTTAAGATATTTGGATTAAATTGGCTAAAGCCTGCATGCATTTATTAAGTTTCACCCTAATTTTCTTATGGTTTCAAGGTAAACTCTCCTCCGAATTTCGGTACAATAATATCTGCATATTATTCAGTGGGCTTAATAATTGATTCATAAAGCGGCTTCAATCTATTCAAATAATTGTGAATGACTTTTTCCACATCTTTGCCTTTCGCACACACTTCCTTATAAACTAAAAACATTCGTTATATAAATACTTTTTCTAGATAGTCTCACATCCTGATCATGATGCAAGAATATCTTTAAATCAAGCAAATCTCTAAGTTGTCTGTCATAAAAAATTAAAGTTCCTTCAATTATAATTACATTCTTATCCCTTGTGGTTAAGAGAGTCTTGATGGCTGTTGACTAAACTTAGTATAAATTGATACCAAAAACTTTTAATAATCCTAATTATTAACATAGGGAACATTATTGAGAACATCAGAGTTCTACTTGCTTAAATGATTACTAATTAATTACTAATTGTCAAAATCGTTGCTATCAACATCAAAATTATCTTATTTAACCACACTCACTTAAAATCCTAATTGTTGTAGTTAATTCATCAATTTTTCAGTTAGCAAGGCTTTTCCTGAAGAATGGCCACCACAAATCTGCAAAATTATTATATAGATTACTCCAATTTTGAAGGTCTTGCCACTTAAAGGTTAGACTATTGGACTTGAATTTGAGCGAACCAATTGGTTCCCCAATACAGCTTTTATGGTCGTATTTACCGCTTTAATTTCACGTGTAGTATTTTTAGTGGAACCATCTTCCTCTTCAAGCTGGGCTAGATTATTCATTAATAAAACACTAATTTTTAATATTTCTATCTCAATTACTATTAAAACAAATCAAAATATTAATATATATCTTGTAATTAAAATATTTATGCAAACTCGTTATCATATAAATCCATACCATTTTTTGTATTTTAAGGTCTTGGTTCCTTTCTCAATTACCCAATTTGCTGCTGTGACAAATATGCAAAGCAAAGTCAATTGTAAACTTACCTCTTGATTTTGAGGGAATGTTAGTTCAAGATAAGAATTCAAAATGTCACTGTAGTTAAATGCTGATATTATACACAAGATAAGAGGAACAAACTAAAAATATCATTAAGACTGTTACCAAGCTTTTGAAAAATTTAGAACGCACATCAATCTTTTGCATATGTGGTTCTCCAGGATGATTGAATAAAAATATACAACTTTGTTGTAATAACTGCAGTAGAAACACTGTTGTATTCAAAAAGGTAGGCTTAAATTCAAGTTCATTTTTAATTTCCTTTTCTTCAATAGTCATATTTGGCATAGCTATATGATGTATAGCAAAGTGCATAGACCATACGTGCAATACGATTTGGAGTGTCAATGAAATGAAAAAGGAAAATTCAAAAATGGAAAAGCTTGGTTTTACTTTTGATAAATTCCTTTAAGCTTTAGCTGAAGAATAGCAGAAATAATAAGCAGCTCCTAAGATTCCCATTAGAGTCATTTGAGTTTCACTCATTTTCAATGATTGCATATGTAAGGCACTTAAAGAATATGCGTTTAATACACTTTATAAGGCCATAATCTTATAAGTTTAAATTGTAGTCACTAAAGTACAGACTCCCTATTTGACAATAGTATGAACACATCTAATGCTCGTAGACATTTTTGATGTAAAAGGAGCAGCAATACAAGCATCACCAAACTTATAACTTGGTCCCATATCAAACAACCCAGCGGCCTATTGTTGCAGATGTTAATTAGCAATATTCTTCATCTTCTCCTTATCTCCTTTGGCTTCATTCATTTACTTTTATATCTCCATCTACTATTTTTTAACTTACTATAATTGATCTGTAAATGATAAATTAGCCACTCTCTCCTCCTCTTCTTCATCTATCTCTTCCTATTACTCTCCCTAATTGGTAACTAAGGCAATTCCAACGTCAGCCTTTTTTAATGCTCCAACATCATTTGTGCCATCTCCGCACATCAACACACCTTTACCTTGCTTTTTGAACTAAATAACGATAGTTTCTTTTTATTTTGGTGACATTCTTGCAAAGATACTGAAATGTATTATCAGTTTGATTAAATGCTATTCTTCTAATTTTACCATAATTGATGATGAAATACACAACATTCCTTCTGTTTTTGTAAGTTCCTTTTCTACATTGCTCAACACTTTTATATTCTTATTGCCATGTTCAACTAATACATAATTATTATCCTGATAATCTAGGATATATGTCTTTTTGTTATCATGTAATTATAATTATTTACCAACTGCTATTGCAGTAAGTAAATTATCTCCTGTAATAATGATGGGTTGAAAATAACTTGATTTGAATTTTTTAATCCATTATTGAGTGTCAGGCTTCAAAGGGGATTCGCAAATTAGGAATCCACGGAACACTAAATTCTTTTCTAATTCCTCTCTTTCTTGATTTTCATATTCCTCAATCTCTCTATCCGCCAAACACAGTACTCTGTATCCTAAATTCGAATAGTGTTAATAACAGTATTCATACTCATCTGGGACTTCTTAGAATAGCGATTATAATGCTTCAGGAGCACCTTTAACTAATATTCTATAATGTCTTTGACCTTTCTAATCAACCTAGACTACAGTGCTCATTCTCTTTAAATCACTCTTGAAGGAGAATACTTGTTTTTAATAAAGGAAAATGCCTAAATCCTTATTTTAAGCATACTTTTGTTAGGTTTAAATACTCCATGGATTATTTTGTTAAAAAAATAAGAGTTCGATAGGATCACCTTGCAATTTATTATCAGCATATATTAATTGATTACAACCAGCCAAGATTTGTTAGCAATACAAGGAACAATCGCTTTTTGACTTTGTTCCTCTATTAACACAATTATCTACAATTCCAGTAAATAACAAAGTATCATTAGTCAAGGTACCAGTTTTATCAAAAGCCAAAACCTCTACCTTTCCAGCCAATGGAATTCTGAAAGGTTCTGTACAAAAGATTTTTCTCAGTTACAACATCATTAAAGATTAATTCACAGCTATTGATAAAATCATTGGCAGTTCAGGTGGAACAACAGTAGTTACAATCAATATACATCTAATAAATAGTTTATTTTTGTTTCTGGATTCTTCTTAAAGTCCATTCATCAAGACATATGCGCTGGCACATAAGGCAAAGATGAGTAAGACTACCACTATAAATAGTCCATCTGTTTATTTAGCATTTGCATTTTCATTATTGTAGAAGACAGTCTTAATCAACTTCCCTTTTGCAGTATCAAAGCCTGTTCTTAACACCAAGCCCAAACAATGAGACTAATTTTAAGCATTATTGATATAAGATGGATATTGTGCATTCCCTTATAATTGTATGATTTCAGTTCCACAAAATATTACATTTTATTTGTGCTTATTTTTGATGTCCAAGTGTTCATTTTAATTTTTATTGATTCCCTCCTTAACTTATGGAACACTCTCTCCTGTCAACATGGACTCATTAACTACTACTTAACCATTTAATAATAGAATATCACATGGTACATTCTTGTAAGAATCAACATTCATGGTTTCTACTTAAAACAATTTAGGCGGCAAATGCTTTGAAAAGGGAATCTGCTATCTTAAAAACTGTTCATCATCATTATTATTGTCCTTAGCAGCAGGTTTGATTTACTCTGCAGTTTATAATATGACTACATCTCCAGGAACAAGTAATTCAGAGGAAATTTTAGTCCATTAGTTTTTGCGGTAGACTGTAATCAATTGTGGATTCAATTTCATTTATCTAAGAGTCAACATAGTTTTCATTCTTTATATGACCACAGTACAGGATGTGAAAAAGAGCATTGATAGAGTAAATAGAGCATATATCCTGCTTTCATCCAATAACCATAGGGATACACTAAATATCTGAAAGAATGAGAAGGGTTCCATTAATTAATCCTTTAATACTTCGTTGAATTTTTTCATTGGGATAAGTAAGGAATTCTTTTCATATTCCTCTAACTTCTCAAGACTTTCCAAATTCTGAAGGTTAAATTTAACATTTGGTTTTTATCTGGTAAACGATTCTTTTGTCTAGTCATAAAAATATTTGTTTTCCATAAATTAGATCCAGAATTTATTAGATGAATCAGATTGTATTGCTACAATTTCGCTGTAGGATTTCTGTTGTTTAGCGAATTAGACTTTGCAATATTTGTAATTTCTAACATTCTCTTAGCTGAGTTTGATCCCTCCTGAAAAATATCTAATTTTAGATTTCATCGACACAGACCAAAATGAACTCATGTATGTTAATGAATGAAAAAACACCAATCCGATAAAAGTTAATCTAGCGTAAATATTTTCCATTGACTCATAATATACTTCATCATTATAAACTACATATTCAACATTATAATACTCTCAGCTCCTTAGAATGTTGCCTTATTTATTTTATCCATTATATTATTTGTTTCGACAGGGGCCTCTTCATCTAATGTACTCCACCAAGAGTACAGAGCAATATAACCAATGACAAAAGGCCAGATATCAAATCTTAGAGGCGTTGGTCTCAAATTCAATAACTCAAAAGAAAGTGTCATTAATTAATATTTTATCAAATTAAATACTCAACTATTCTTTATAAATACTTAGAATCGACTTCGTCAAATCGTGACAAGTGTTCTGAATCAATATCCAAAACACTTTGCACCACTCCATTCTTTATAACTGGAATCACTATCTCACTTTAAGTCTCATTATCGCACGCTATGTAATTCTAACAAACCTTCACATCTTCTTAAATCTGAACTTTTCCTTCAGCCCAACATTACCCACATTGTCCCTTCCCTTTTTCAATTCTTGGTGTTGCCAATATGGTACTTTAATATGGACCGACTTCAAGAGAATTACCTAATATAGAATCCAATAATATACCATCAATAACTTCATAAAATCCTACAAAAAATAATCCGCTTACATTGTTTTTTAGAAGACTGACAATTGAAGTTTCTATAGCATTCCTGCCTAAATTTTAATATTTTTTCAAGAAGTGTTCAAGTAGGTCAATAACCTTTTCATATTCCTAGACTTTATTTGGTTAATTCATTTGTTATTTATAAATTAAAATTATTTATTTATAAATATAGAAACATTATTATAATATTAGTATCATTATTTGTAAAATTGACAAATTATCATGAATTTAATTCATAATATAAATTCAAATCTATATCTTATTTGGTGATTATAATAAATTGTATTTTTAATGAATTCCTAGTCACCACCATGGAACATTTTAAAGCCCACACCTTTGAATCTTCTCCAAAAATAAGCACTAGAAGAAGAAGAGCCCTTCATTCTTGAGGGAAATAGTAAAGAAATTAAATTTAACGAACTCCTTATTGTACTAAATTATGATCCAAATACAGAAGTGACGTACATTAAGAGACAAGTATTAAAATGTAAAGGGCTCTCCAATATTGGATGGATAAACCCTTGTTTAGACTCAGAAAACAATTAGACTTTATTAAATAAAAGGTCAATTTTAAAACAGACCTATAATAGAAGATTATAATGACTTTTTATATATTATGATCTTATTTCACTCATATTTTCAAACTGCTATTATTCTCTACGAAGTATTCATCAAAACTGATTTTGTAATTTTCATTCCACATTTCTTCAATAAGAAATTTGCTACCTTACTTCTCCATCAAACTTTTCGTACTTCTTAATTATTTCATTTTTTAATTTTCTCATTTAAACCAATTTCTCTTCCAACTACAGTTTTTCATTTCTTTTAGTTATTGAGTGTATTTCATCTCTCAATCGATATCATTTTAGTTTTTAATTCTCCTTTAATAATACGGATTCAACTCCAATATTTATACTCAATTTTAAAATTCATTGAAATTATTTCCTAATCTAAATTATTGGGCGATTTGATCAACAGAGTTCTACTCTTTACAACATTTCTTCCATAAAATAAATCCAAAATTGAATTTCTTGGTTATTATTATTTGTATAAAACTTTTTGCTCTTCTAACTGTTTTCTCATTTCTTTGATCTCTCAGTAACCTTATTTTGTAAGTTATCAGTCTCTCATCAACTTTCAAGTCTCATTAAACCTCTTAATTTTCTCCAAAATACTTTATTTTTCATTCTCAAGAACTTATACTCCATCATTCAAAATTTATTAATCAACAACCATATTTTCTAGTACTACCTTATATTATTCAATGTCACACAATCAGAATAGATTTAAGAGTTCTCTTAATATAGCTTCCACCCATCAATCTATTTATGGATACTATTGTATAAGAAATATCTGACAATTGAGATTTTAGTTCTTTCTATCATTATACCAAAAGAGAAGTTTGTGAAAATGAATAAAAAGGGGGTTTAATTGTTAGGAAAATCTTCAATAAGATTTTTCTATTCAAAGTGCTGATTTATTTAATCAACAAATGAACAATAGATACACGCCTATGTCTATAAGGGTACCATAAGAAAATTGATTGGCTAGAACTATTTGATTAATACTCACCTAACTCTAACTTATTCAATATTGCAATAACTGTGATAGGTGATTTATTATTTCTGACAACTTCTCATTCCTTCAATTAAAATATCCTCCCAAACTTTGTCTTCAACTATGTAATTGTTTTGATAATTCCTTAGACCTCAAAATTAATGTTTCAATTAATTAATCAACATTAATCTTTTGTAGAGTCGCAACATTTGATTAGTTATGATAACTTTGAAAATAAAGATTGAATAACTATATTTAAATATAATTTGATTCAACAATGATTCAATCACTGCCCACTGTTGAATTTCTAGATTGCTTAAATCAACATTAATTCTTTAAACTTTAAATTAGAATTTTGAGTTATACAGCTTGCTCTGTACTGATTCTATAGATTTTATCACATTAGAATATCAAATCGGCCAAGGTATCTGCAATTTTTTGAATTAATTCAAAAGGGTTCCATTCTTACCCTTTTCTCTAAAGATTCTCTGTTAATCTAATTTAAAGGTATTTATTGAATATATTACACAAATAGCTCAATTGTTAAAGAGATTTATGAGCTTTAGGAGACCAAATTCCTCAGTCTTACTACTTCTCTTTGATAAATTTATCACTTTAACTTTTTAGTTAACAATTCTTATTTCTTTCTAAAATGTGTTAGATTCATACTCATTTTGGTTACAATCCTCTTCTACCCTTAATTAATCAATTAGTATATTTAATTCACAACTTCAACTTTTTATCTCAAAATTTATAAATCATTCTTAGAAGTCATTTAGAGTATTATTGATCTAAATGCTAACTAAATCTAATTTAAATTGCATATTAGGCTTTTCAAAAGTTCTTCTAATAAGGTTAATGTATTTCTCAATCTAATTTTTTACTTTTTATTGTTTTATTTATTTTCTTAATTTTCTATCTGATCACCCTTCTTCATTCTTCTTCGTTAATTTTTCTATCATTTTCTCAATCATCTCTAGCCATACTTAACTTTCATCAAGGCTTTAAAACAATTCGTAGTTCTCCCAAGCCAAATTCTTCGCTTAGATTTCCAATTTAACCGTTTTTAACTTTGTTCAGTAGTTATTTACACATGGATATTATGATTATACTATAAGCAATAACAGCAGAAATAGCACTTGCTTTTCTTTTCTATTGTTTCGCCTCAATCCTGGCGATTTTGGTGGATTTTGGAATTCGCTTAAATATTACTAAATTGCATCAATTGCAATTATTATTTTTTTTCTCATGATTTCCAATGATGAATATACTATGACCATCAAACATGTAAAATATTCATTTCATTTTAATTAACCTTTGGGTGAAACTACTTTGTTCTTTACCTAGTAAATTCAAATTATATGCAAATGAATTCCATAGAGCATATCTGATCTGCCTACTAATTCTCTTTCTGAATTAGGAAAGTCTTCTCTCTATTTTATTGGATACTCCAATACTGTATCATGGTCACCCCCTTAAATTATTTGATAATAATTTATATTATCAAAATTATAACAAATTTCTTTTATAATAAAAAGATTTAGAATTAATATGATTAGGTCTAAATTATTCTTGAGTTTCAAAAGTCATTAAAACTTCATATCAAAATCTTGGTCGATTTCTTAGTGCTCTTAATGTGTAAGAATAAGGAGATAGACTTTATTTTAAATAAATAAATTTTATTATAATGTAAAATTTGGTTTATCATAATGACTTATCCTTCTATGAAAGTAGATTCTATCCAATTTTTTCTTGAAGATACCACAAATAATTAATAATGTTGCTGATAGCACATGGATATAGTTGGATAATCTTTAATGCATAGAAAAATTATTTTTAAATCTATATATTATTATCTCATTCTTTTCAAGGTTAACCAACTTCTAAACCCTCGTCTATTGGATGGCCTTTCCTTAAATGTCCTCCCAGTTGTTATGATTTTGGATATGTCTTTTTACAGATTCTACATTGATATAGTTTTTTATCGCCCTTCTAAATTCGATTGTTTCCTCTCCTCGTCCTATATTCTCCATCCTAACCTTAGGATAGAATATATAATGAAAGTTTACCTTTTTCTAGAATATTTTTTAATAGATTTGGATCACCCATTACATCTTTCAAATGTTGAAACTTCTTTATCTTCTTTTGAATTCGCTATATAAGGTCTTAAAATGCTGACTCAATTCTAAAGATCGAGATATAATCTTCTATCTTCCCCGTTTCTTCTGAAATCATGTTTAAATAATTCAGATATAAAAATAATACATTATTTAGTTATTTTAAAACAACAATATCTTTTATAATATGATCATTTCAAATTTTCATATATTCTTAGCCTTGATCCAAATTCTATATATTTCTTCAATCTAGCCATTCAAATTCTGAAGGAATAAATAAAGTTGATTGTTGAATTTAATTAAAGTACTTATTTGAAATATTAATATATATAAGTTATTAAATCAACAAATAAAGTTTCATTAATATCTAACTAAGTAATCATTACCTTTGCTTTCATACCTTATGATACCTTTATTCTGGGTTAAATTCATATTAATCAAGCCGAATTAGCGCTCACTTCAAAATTTCTTGTCATTCTTCTCTTCATTTAATTGATCATACTATTTTAAATCCTTATCAGACTCATTAATTAATACTCCAAGGTTATAAGGTCAGGGACGAAATCCATTTTTATTCCTTCTATTGATTTTAGGTTGTTTGTTCTTTAGTACTTAATATGAGGTTGAAATTTGTATCCTTCATTCCATTGCCGTTATTATAACAACATGCTCTCTATTTGCTCATCAATGATTTATAAGAGGGTTGTTTAAGTTTCCTTTCGTTTATTTTTGGCAAATGTATTTGCAAATCAATACTATTCTGTCTTTTCTTATCATCACCATACCTAAATGAAAAGAATCGGATCAGACGTTGGACTGCGAAAATGAGTTTTATATTGCCCTTCTTTGATTTTCAATGATAATTCTATTAATTACTCTGTCTATCATCGTTCTGGTTTTTTAATTAATGATCCCTTAATATAAACAACTTTAAGCCTTAAGAAGTTCAAATACCTGAGAAATAACTGAATAAGATGGACTCAACATTATTCAAATTGATAATATTAATGCTTTCAAACAAATATCATGAATAATAAATGTATATTAATTATCAATCAAACTTTTTTTACGCTTAATAATAAGCTTCGAAAGATTCTCCAGGATTCAAATGAATCGACTTATTTTCTTCTGGGAGTTCCATACTCGCTTATTAGAAAGTATCAAAGGACTGTCCTAACTTAGAAGCATTAGAAAAAGTTCCTATGATATTAATAAACAATTACCAGGAGATTTATTGGGACTTAATCTTGTTCTTATAGTTCCAACCTTCTTATTTTTTTTATCAGATTTATGTTTTTGTTATTCTAAATTCGAGCACTATTCTTACAATTCACTCTTCTGATATTTCAAATCATCCTTTTCAATGTTCCATTTAGCCCTTTCCTTCTCATGCTCAAATACCATAGTTGATCTTCTTATTTCTGCTTCTTTTAACTTTTCTTCTGCTTCACTTAACTTAGCTCTCCAAATCTGCCTTTCTTCAGTCTGATTTAAGTATAATTCTTCAATTTTTGTTTCATATTATAATTTGATTTATTCAATTTGATTTTCATAAAGAGAAGAAATGTCACTCAAATCACCTTTCTGATAATTTTGGTTTGACATATTGTTCAATGTTAATTCTTTTTGTAATTATTCAATCTTCAGTGTATATTCATTAATAATTGCTTAATGATGTTCTGTAAGATCTAAAACTTATAATTAATACTTTTTTTCTAAAGTTACCAACATTTCAGAAATAGAATTACTCTCCTCCTCTAAATCCTATTATCTTGCTTTTTAGAGATGATTTATAGTAAACTCAAACTTTTTCATGGCTTCTTGTAAATCTTATTTTGATTAATCCTTTTATTATTGCAAGAACTTAAATTTTCCTTCCCATAATAAAGTATCTCGTTCATGTAATGATTTCAGTTCCTGTAATTCACTTTGCAAATTTTCAATTTATTATTTTAATTAATTAATGAGTTAAGTGTTTGATTACACATTATTTTATTGGGCTGGAAGATTTACATTCTTCTTTTATTAATTATTTTACTCCTCTTACAATTAGATTTTTAATTGTTCAACCTATTATTGCAATTCAACAACTATCCTATTATTATTGATTTCTTATTCTTTATATTATTGTCTTAACTTTTCATATTTTTACTGTTATTCTTTAAGATCAGTTTCTAGAGTTAATTGAGCAACATTGCTTTCAATCTTAATTAATTAAGTAAAGTTTTTAGACTCATTGTTTTATAATTGAGTTTATAGTTATTCTAATTTATGTGAGTTAAATTCATTTTCTTATGTAATTAATGCCAATTATTTTTCATATTCTACTTTCATTTTAATATTTTCATCTTGTGCATCATCTAATTATTTTCTTAATTCAGTAATCTATTCTGTAAGCTTCTGTTTTTCTAAGGAATTATTCTATTTCATTTTTTCTATTTAATCTTGTTTAATATGATTCAAAGATTCATACGATCCTTATTATTTCAAAATACTAAGTTCTTCCTCCTTGATTTAATTGAGCTGATGCAAATCTTGCACTGACTTTTATAAATTCAATTAATCATCCTAAAATTATTAAATTGATATTTTTAAAGAGTTGTTTACTTATTCTAAGGTTAAAATCTATTTTTATTTTAAATCATTTTCATTTTGCCAATGTTATTACAATTGTTGCAATTACAAGTCTGTTTATTTTAGCTTTTTCTAAAGCTTAGAAATTTCTTCATCTTAATTATTATCAAATTGATTCTCCAATTCCTCAACCATCTAGTTATACTTTTCTTCCATAATCTTTCTATCTTCCATAAACTTTTATTCAACTTTTTGTCTCTCCAAATCATACATTTATCTTAATTACGCTATTTGTTCTTCATTTTTATTTTATAATAATCTATATTCATTCAAATTCTACTTTTTCAATTCCTCAATTTCTTATTGATGATTCCTTGTTTTCAAAATCAATTTTTCTTCCAATTCTCTTTAGATTCTAGTCTTTTACTATTCTAATAACATGAATTCTCTATTCAATCTCTAAATGTTATCTTCATAATTAAGTATCTAAGTTTTGGCTTATTATAATTCCCTTGTAAAATCATTTTATTGATACAATACTTAACTCTCAGTTTTATTTAATTCTGAATTCAAATATTCAATCTATTATTACATTTTTCTTCTTTAGATTTCAAATTCTTGTTCTAATTATTTCATTTCATTCAAATGCATGTCTTTCATTTCCATATATTATTTAGAGAACACTTAGCTTTTACTCACATCATTCTAACTTTCAAATAGACTTAAAGTTTATTCATGATTCTTCTTCTCAAGCTTTAATTGTTCTGAAAGATCCTTGAGTTAAATCTCCAAGAATTGTTTCTCTTAAGCAATCAATGCTTGTTCTCTTTCTAAACTGGATTTTAATTGTATTAACTATGATGTCTTTTCTTTCAATTGTGACTCCTGAGTTTCGATAATCTCTTTCAACTTAGTAATCTATTTTTCATTTTCTTCATTGTTAGAATTATCAAATTATGGCAATTAAATTACTGAGTTCTTCAGGATTTGAATTTATTATTGATATTCATATATTTTACTTTCTTTGCTCTAGAGTTTAAATTAGGTCTAAGTATTTTATTGTTCTAGATTATTTAGTTGATCTTGAAGCTGCTAAGTTTTGTCAGTTTATGCTAACAGTCTTTCTTATAATTAAGTGATCATTTACTCATATTTTTATTAGACATCTCTAATTTAAATTGTGTATTCTGATTTAGTTGAGAGAAATGACGAATCCATTTAGGTTTCTTTTCGCTAACTCTATTCTAATTGTTTTGTTAGATGTTGAATCTTTTACTCATTAAGTGCCTTCATTTTGTTGAATTCTGACTCTTTTAGATAGATATTTCTTTCAAATTATTTAAATTGCTATTGATGGAGTTCTTTCTATTTAAGTATTTCTGCTTATAAAATTTCTAATTATTTATCTGAAGAAAATAGTTATTCCTCTAATAATTTAATTTATGATTATTAAGAATAAATTTTATTTTCTTATTCTTTAACTTTACAAACCAATTCATTAATGGTTTTATCCTTTTCTGTATTGATATTTTCATTTTTTATAGATAAAGGTTATTGTTATTGTTATTATTGTTAATTTTACTATTTAATGAACATGTTGGTACCTTCTGTCATCATTTTATTATAAAACTCTTAATAAACTTGTTGCTTTAACACAGTTTTAGGTCCATGCTCTAATAAAAATTAATAGAACAATTTGATGTCCCTCTCAAATTCTAAGATACTTCGATATTCAGATAATCGTTTTTGCAAAGTTTAAAATTCTTAATTGATAAATTAATTGCACAAATTGGTAGCTTCTTATTCATTTCGTTTGCAAATCTCCTTGAATGTCTCTTTGCACATCTGATGTAAATCATCATTTAAGTCTTTGTCATTGATTTTAGATTTCAAATATTCCAAAGCCTTGAGTTCTGAATCTTTATGATGATTCTTCAATTCTTCAAATGAACATGTTGGCAATTTGAGTTATGTAATAGATTGCTCATACTTTTTAAATGCTTCATTCAATAGAACTGTAGATTGCTTGTCTACTATGGTTTCAGTAACTTGCCTTAAATCAACCGATTAATTGCTGTTGAATTTAGCAACCACCATCTAAATCATCTCTACCAAAAGTGGACCATTCAAATAAATGTTCTGATAGATTTTCTTTGGCTTTGCATAATTCAACACTTTTCTCCTTAGCAAAGCCATAGAGTCTATGAACTCGATACTTTCGCTAGATGATGGAACTGTAACAAAATCCGAGAATAGCTTAAGTAGGTGTTTCTTCACTCTATTTTGTGATTTAAACTATCTTTCAAGTAGTTCTTTGGGCTAGAGGGCATCCTTATTTTGTATGTCTCTCAAAACCCAAATAAAAGGAGGTAGAAAATCCTCATAGTCTTCAAGATTAATCATGAGTTCAAAATCTTCGACTGAATAGCCTAAGGTTTATTGGTTATGATAGCATACCACAGTAGATTACTACACTTGATAGAAGAGAAGCAAGGAGGATGATTTGCATGTCTTTTCTTTGATCACCACAACCCAAGCCTTCTGTATCTATAATCAATTAACCATCATAGGTAAAATAGAACCCCTTGAGTTTATTATGATTGATACTTTGGTGCTAGATTGAAAACCTTAACCCTGCATAAAGAGCTTATTCAATAACCAACTTTTGCCAGACTTTTGAGATCCAATAATGCAAATAATATTAAGGTTGTTTTGTATCTATTGCAACTTCTAGCAGGCTACTTTGTTAAGAATGATCTCCAAGGTGTTGTTGAATCCATCAAAACTCAATAGTTAATAAATATCCATGAAGTTGAGATAATATTTGAATTTAAATTAATTATCAGACAAACCAATTTTTGATTAATATTAGTTGAACATATTCATGAATATTATTATTCATAATCACTTTGTTTGTTGCCGCTCTGGTTCATACTTTGTGTATGACCGTTCAGAAGATCTAAAAATTAAAAATTATATTTACTCCATAACTATTCTGAATTTGAACTATTTTATAACAAATTGATTAAGTCTTGTTTGGTTTATTTCTAAAATGAAGGAACATTCATACTTTAATATTGTCTACAATTGTACGATATTTTTTCTTATATACAAATCCCATATTTGAATCACACAACCTAATCCTGCTCTCAACATCTTCACTTATTCTCTTTGGAATACTCTAGTCAATGTATTCTGAAATAGTCTCAGAGATCTTCTAAACCACTTTGTTTTTTAGCAAAGGATTTGGAATATCCTGACTCTATTTTCTGGGTTTCTTAGGCGATTGATTTTAAGTTTATTTTTTTCTAATAATTGGTTTAGTAATAGGAATCTGTCTCTAACATTTTCCCTTTTTCACTGATTCTTCACTTGATTCATCCTCCTCGCTTTCCCCATCACTTTCCTCTGAATCTGACTCTTCACTATCATCTTCAGCTATAAAATCATCTTTATTTATGATACAATCCAAAATGAAATTCGGCTGATTTGACAATTTCTCTAATAACTTTTAAGTGATCTTCTTTTGACCGGATACTTAATGCAATTACTGGATGATTTCGGTTGGATCAAAATACTGTAAAAAACTAGATTTTTCATTTCTGTATTACCGTTCTCAATACAATTGATTTCAATTTCTCAAGGAGCTGTGTAAAATCGATCTGCGCTTAAGAAAGACTCTTTTTATCAGTCAATCGTGCTTGTATCTACATTAAAAATTTTCCATTCGGTCCCTATAATATTTCCATTATGTCTGGTCTATCCAAATCAAGAATTTGAGTCAGCTATCATTTTAATTGCTTGATCATACACTTGATATTTTAGTTTCTATTTAGTGTGGATTCAATTTAGTCTCAGCCATCAATTTCAATAACTCCTAAATCTCTGAACTGAAATTGTCAGGTTTAGTGATATCCTCGGAATCCATCTTCGATTTTCTAGATGATCCATATATTCCACTGTGTTCTTCACTCGAAGATGATCTTGTTCTCTTACGCTTACTGACTGTTTTAGTGATATTCTTTTTCTTAGAGATTTTTTTTGATTCAACTAATATCAGAATTTAAATACTTTCATATGTTGATTACCCTTTCAAAATTTAATCTGCTGCTGTGACCGAATCTTTGTGTTGCTTAGTCTTGATTTTTTGAACTATTTCCTCATACTTCTCCTAATATTTGGCAAGACTTTAAAAAGGTAATGTGGAACTTCTATTCAAAGGTTAATCATACTGTGAGTTATCTCCAATAAAATTGACAAGATATTTTGTAGGTTCTGATGACTATTTCTCTTTTATCACTTCAGCTATAATTCCAGGCCACCAGGGGTCTAAAATAATGTGTACCACTTACATCCTCTTATCTTTGCCCAGACGATCTCATCCTTTGTATAACTCTCAGGTACTTCAGATTCCATTTGGTATTATAATTTAAAAATATTTATATATTAGAATATTATAATATATCATAAATTAATCAGGCCTAATAATGCAATCTCACAACTCTTGCTTATTCCTAAAAATATTGAGTTCAAATACCTTGATCTAATTGATCAAATCAATATTGGGAGGACTGGCCAATTACGATATCTGCTATTAGTAATTTGAGTTTAAAAGATTCTATAATCTTTAATCAGTGTTTTGCTGAAAGGAGAACTGCGGTAATGCACTACTGATTTAAACCAAATCCAATGGATTTAATTGCTATTGAGATTATCCACCCATATAGATTTTCGAAGTTCGTCTATCTATATTAAATATTAATCCCAATTACCCATGGTGGCTAACATATCTGTTCCATGAACTTCCTAAATACTCGATTGCGCTATTATTTTATTCTGCAAATATCCAGTGATCATTAATTATCTAAATATTTTTGCAATTATAACAAATAATTAAACATTCAAAATAAATTTTGTGTAAATATGCTACTCTATGATCCTTGTTAGACTAAGTCATTTTTCTCTGTTTGCATTCCAACACCACTCTACTGCTGCGACATCAAGGATTCAAACATAAACTATTGATTGCTTGGAGGAACGTACAGTTAAGTTAATTACCCTTCCCAATCAATTGGAAATTTTGTTATCCGAGGATTACTTCCCAATATTTGTCGGTAAACTCTATCTATTAGTACTACTTATGGCTCGTTTTCAATCAATTCTGCCTCGGTGTAATTGTTATACACATAATAGCCAACTCTGAAAAATTCCTTTTATCGATATTTAGCGGTCAATATCAAGGCGGAAACACTAAACAAATCCTCCTTTGATGGGATTAATTGGTAATTTGGAGGTTGACTTGTTATCGTGAATTGCATTAACCCTTTTTGTAAGGGACCCATGCTAAAATTATCTAAGACTTAATCATATTTGTCACTCAAAGGAGATCCTATGTAAATCAAGCTAATTTAATTTTAATTTCCTACTTCCATTCTATTTCATCTGGTAAACTATTTAGAACTTCAAAAGTTATTTGCAGAGATATGGGAGTTTGGAATAAAGCCAACTCATTTTCAAAGATTATGTTTGTCACTTCGACAAGCGCCATTTCTTATAATATTAATAATAAAAAAGGAATTTAATAATTGTTCATTCTAAAACTTCATTAAATTGTCTTATCACTTTTTAACTTTATTGCAATTATTTCAATTATTTTATATAATCATCTTTTAAATTTTTTAATAAATTTAAAGATTCCTACTCAAAATTATCGTTCAAATCTCTCACTGGCATCTAGTTCACCCTCTCCTCATGTTATATTTTTATAGAATGCTATTCCAAAGTTTAATATACCAAATTTCTACCTATTGTAATGCTTCGTTTAGTTATAGAGTTTTTTTCCTCATTATTTCCACCTCTTCCTTTAAAGCCAGTTCCCAATAGGCATTTTTTTACAAACATTTCTATCTTTTTGCTCTAAATTCTATTTTCTATTAACAAATTAATAATTTATCAATAATCTCTTTGTTCTTGTTTTAAATTTGATTCAAACTATTTTAAAAGTGTGTTTCTAACTACCACTATTAATCATATATGTTACTATCTCAGGACAATCTCTTAAGTCGATTTCTAAAATTTTTTCACTTCTTTCTTGAGATTTTTGTCCAATTCCTTAGAGTAGTAATTTTAGAATGGCCTGGGCATTGTTTTGATACGAATTGTTTAAAGACAGCAAAACCTTAGTGTTATCAGTCAGGGATTGTTGTTGTAAGACAGTAAAATTGTGAAGTTCCTTTATTGACTCGACAAGGGAATAATATTCATTATCAGAGAAGTACATAATATTATAAAATGTAGTTAATTAAAATCATAATTTAGTCAAGATTAATACAGCACAAGTGCGGCATTATTCTGTTTTGGTAGAAAAGGATTGTTCTCTTCAGAATTAAGATCTTTCTATAGCAAACTAATAAAGGATTCTAATTTCCTTCTCTTATTGCCTTCAAGCTTCTCAAGATACTTTTAGGCGATTTTAATCCTGAGAGCATGGTTTTATTGTCCATTTGCAATTGCTATTCTTTCTTTGCTAAGGAAAGCTTCCAAATCCACATCTTAATTCTTTACATCCTTTTCTAATGAAGCTATTAAATCAAGCAATTAATTAATTGTTTCAGAATTTGTTTTCTATTTCGAAGTATTGTGTTTTTGAAATATTTCAAAATTATGTCTCTTTTTACTTGGAAAGGCTTATTTGATCAGATTACCGTTAGATGGTAAAGGTTGTTAGATCTGTCTTTTGGGAATGATTTCTGTTTGATTAGGTTTAATATTTTCAAATTAAGATCTCGTCCTTCTTAATTTCTGTTATTATTTAGGAAGATAGTACTTTGCCACTTTACTATTTTCCTCCCCCTCAGTTGACTATTGACTTGAACTTGGAGGAGGTAAATCTTATTTCTATTCTATTTTTACTTCGCTCTTATATTCAGCTTGTTTGTTTTGAGGATTTGAATTCTTTCCGGAACAACTTCTTTCTCTAAGAGTTGGGAGTGCTGACTTATCGTTAGATTGCAGTTATCTTTAGGTTTAAAATTTGGGACTGCAGATTTCGTTAATTCCAGGTTCTAAAAGGATTTTCATTTATGGTCTAATTAGAGGATGAAGGAAGACTTCATTCCAACTAAACCTTTATATTTCATCCTTGTGTAAGCAGCCTTGAATAAAGCTAAGGGATTCTTTTGAGATTTTGTTATTCTTTGGGAAAGTCAACTTGCAATTATTAATTCTGTATATCAATTCCATATAGTTTGTGGCCATCCACGGCAGAGTTCCGAATAACATTTCATAAAATATCAGTCCCAATGACCACACATCACATTTTGAGGTGTATTGTTATTTGGTTAGGATTTAGGGTGCCATATAAAGGGGAGTGCCCACTAGAGATTCCATTACACATTCCGATGGCAATGGTCTTGAAAATCCAAAATCAGCTATTTTGCATAGGCCGTCATGGATCAGGATATTGGCAGGTTTGAGATCTCGATGAATAAAATTATTGTTGACTATCTCTTTTAGTCCATTGGCTATTTGTTTTATCATCTTGATGGCTTAATCTTCCTCTATTACCCTTTTTTCTGACAAATACTATCTTAAATCTGGTCCATTGCAATATTCTTCGACCAGATAGGTGTTGTTTGAGGTTGAGTAAACTTCATATAATTCAACAATATTGGGATGTTTTAACTTTTTCATGATTTCTATTTCCTTGTGAAGTGACGAATATAATTGTGAGTAATTTTCAGATTTAGAATGATCGATAACCTTAAGAGCTACAGGGAGTTCTACATGTTATTAAGGTATATTGTACAGGTATTCATCTCTCTCCCGAAGTAGACGGTTCCAAAGGAGCCTTTACCAAGAATTGCCTTGAGACTGAAACCATAATTGGAGATCTTCTTTTCTGGTTTCAGGTTCAGAATTTCTTGTCTGTTCATTGTTAGTAATTTAGTTATTTAAATATGAGGATAGAGTAATGGAAATTCAATTTGTTAGATGACTTAAAAATAAGCTCAAATTTAATATAATTAATTTAATAACATGTGTTGAATACATAATATATAACAACATTCGATTATAAATTCTATATTCATTTATAATAATTATGGAGATACAACCTTTCATACAGGCCTCGAATTTAGACACAAAATCTCTAATAACTGGAGGAATTTTCATCGCCTTTACAACCATTTTAGGAGTAATAGCCTTGTTATAAACATATTGTGAACACAGACATTACAATCTATTGAGGGAAGCTTCGGTTGCCATCCTAATAGGATTGCTAATTGGAGTCATTACTGAATTTTAAGTATTATAGAATGTTAACTATGATAATTCATCTGAAATTTTCTTTTTTGTTTTGCTTCCCATCATAGTTTTTAAGGAAGGCTACAATTTAAATAAGCAACACTTTATGAAGAACTTCTTCTATGTGGTCTTGTATGGTATTTTTGGAACTATATTCAATTTCATCGTTTTGGCAGCACTCAATTACTCAATAACCAACACAAGTAAATTTTTTATTTATGCTAGCCATTTTTTGGATACCGCCATCAAAAGATAGTTAAAATAACACCCCTATCAATTCTAGGTATGCATCCACATTTTACTCAGCCTGCATCTCCTCTAAAGATAGTGCTGTATCTTTAAGCGTGTTAGAATTTGAACATGCACCCAAGTTACACAGTATAATATTCGGTGAGCAAATCTTAAACGACGTCGTGGTGTTTGCAATAAGTAAGACCGTGGAAAAGTTTCATGATTAAAGTGAATCAAAGAGTGATTGGGAATGGTATAGTGTATTCATTTTTATTGGCTGGATTCTCGCAAACTTACTTGTAGGTTTAATCGTAGGAGTCTTGGTCGGCAGTATGGCTACTTGGATAACAAAGGAATCTCGATTTCTATCTGAGCATTCCTCTGTAGCTACTGCCTTTACTATTTACATAGCTTATTTCGCATTTTGTGTTTGTGAAGCAATAGGATTTTGTGGAGTTTTAGCCGTTTTATTGTGTGGTATTATGCTATCACATTATTAAACCTACAATTTACCTAAAATTTCAGCGACTTCTTCTAAGATTACAATCAAAGCACTAGCTTATATTAGTGAAACTATTATCTACTTTTATATTGGATATATGGTGACTGAAAATGCTATAGTTAAAGACTAATAAGATAGTAATCTAAAATCTCAAGTTTATACTTTTCTTCTTATTCAATACTTTGTTTTCTCTCCTGTAGCCAAATTATCATCCATGCTTTTAGCTCATGGTTTTGCGATAATGTAAATAGATCATCATATTCATAGTATACGCATGAAAACCAAAGGACCATGGAGAATAAATAAGTATGAGTTCTTCCTCCTTTTTTATTCTGGCCTAATTAAAGGAGTCGTTGCTTATGCTTTAATGTGTGAATAGGATGTAGGAGGGAAAGATTATTATAAAATTATCTAAACTACTTCTTTGTACATGGTGGTGTTTACTACTTTAATTAATGGTGGGACATTGAAATATGTATGTGAATGGGCGTATAGACGAATGGAAAAAGAGAATTCGACTGCTTAGACAAGGACTTAATCATCTCAATCATACGCAATTAGACAGACTTTTATACAGGAAGATTTAGCTGCCTATAAAAAACTTAAAAATAAAAGTGAGAAATTCTTCAAGGGCTTTGATGAGAAATATATCAAGCCATTTCTAATCTATAAATACAATTAAAGAAAGGATGATATCCGTCTAGCCAAGAAATTGCAAAAAAATAAGTCCAAGTATGAAAAGGAACAGGACTTTAAGATGTATGATGATAGCATTAGACAATAGAGAGAAGAATTAGAATTACATAAGTAAAAACGAAATGAATTAACATAAATTGATTATAGTAATTCTGATTCAGATGATGAATAGAACAATCATCAAAATGGTAATTAACATACTACCTTCCAAGGCGAACTTTAAGAAGTCAAAAATAGTAAGTAACAAAATGGTGATCGTAACCATGATTGATGTAATATTTTAAAAAGATCTTTTTTTTAAAATAATTTCAATAGAATTAATCAAATTATATTTATAAATTTAAATTTATTTAATAATCAATAAATTTTAAGTTCGCATTCTTCTATCTGCGTTGATTCTCCTTTGCGTAAAGAGATCACTTTACAGTATCCAACATTGTCGGTGTTCTGATTGAACAGTTCTAAAATGGTCTTTAGAGGGCGTTGGTGGGTTATTAAGATGACACATTGTTCAGGTTCAATTGTTTTTAGAAGCTGCTAGACATAACTCATAATTCTATTGGTCACGTTTTCTAAGGTTTCAGGATATATTTCATTCTGATTCGATTATTAATCGATTAAGGTAATCCCAGTGAAGTAAGTGAGCGTGGGATCGGTATTAATAACTAACTCAGGCAAAGGGTTCTTGGAGAAGAAATGAGGATATAAAGTTTCACAGATTTCAGTTTTCAAAGATACCTCCTCCTTATTGATGTGACTAGCGATGATTTTAGCAGTCATTATGCACCTTAAGAAAGGAGAGGATTGAATATCAACACAAGAGTAGGCTTGAATTTCCTATTGAATTGATTTTCCAGCCTACAAAGCTTAGGTGCATCCAGTTGGAGTAAGATGTGGATCTGATGGATTAACAATGTTCTACTTTTCGACCTCGCAATTGTCAGCCCTTTCCCCATGTCTTACCAAAAATATCATGTAAAATTAAAATAGATATATTTGAATATTCAAACTGTATTTTTATATACTGTATAAATTCTATTATAATATATTTTTAATCATAATTCAACATTATTTAATCCTAAATACTTTAATGATAGGTTGAATGAACATGCTGACAAAACTAAATTGATGGGTAAAATAAGCATGGTACAATAAAATGAGATGTAATTCATAATATTACTACCAAACAATTGCTATTCAAAAATCAATGTACTACTCCACCAAACTTTCTAGTATCTATTATATAAATTATACATAATTAACAATCAACCAAAAAACATCAAAAATGCATTAGATTAATAAAATCAAGGAGACTTGTGGCAATATCTTCGATGTTTTAATATGATCAGAATCATAAGTAATGATTAACATTCCAATTAACAAGGATGTTGTCATTTGTTAAAAGCATGGTCTAGACATGGAAATTAGGACAAGAGTAAAAATAATAACAAATCCATTGAGTAATAACACAATCTATTACCACTCTTCTAGACTGTCTTGGTGTTCATCTACATGTTATTATGGAGTTGTATACTTTTAAATTGTTTTGCAATCTAATACATTTTATTCTGAAATTTGATTGTCCATTCTGATTCATCGTAGAAGTCAGGTTCTTAATTAACTTCATAAGGATGTTGATGTAATTTGGCAATCCTTGATTTATCAAATGCTGAAAGACAACTATCAATAAAATGATTGCTTTTTTTAATTATGTCTTGTTGTTGTTTAATTTCTTTTTTATACTCATCAATAAAGCTAATTTGATCTTCCAACAAAGCAACTCTGCTATGAATCCACCAAATAGTTAAATTCAGTTTTAATTTAGTGTTTATTAATACTCCATGCTCATCCTCCAACATATAATCCTGATTAGAACTCTACTGATCTTTGAATTGATAGAGTGGCAATTTCAATTAGCCAATTAAGATTGAAGATGAATTGAATAATTCAAGGATAATTTAGCCGTAAGGTGAGGATACATGACTATTCTAAATAGTTTTGGAATGTTTTACATTTTGAATTCCTCTTGCCACATGGGATGGTTAGTTATCTAAGATAGCTGAGTATTCTTTTCTTCATTGAAGAGCGTAATAGTGACATAATATTGAGATTGTTTCAAGCATTCTGCAGAACAAACGGTGATGAATAGAGTGCTGTCAATGTCGATTTATTCATTTAGATTTTCTTCCTTTTTGGCTATTTTCAATTCCTCCAGGAGTTGTTTATATTCATTTTTGTATGTTTCGATCTGATTAATGGCATCTTGCTTGATTTGGAGTTAGGTATTAAATTCTTAGAGAATGAGGTTCACAAACTCATCGACAGTGAGTAGATTGATTTGGGTTGAATAATCTTGTTCGACGGATTCTATTAATTCGAAGGGGAATTAATCATTTATCTATTGGTTAGGATGTTTTTTGTACCAAAGAATTCAAGTATTCCAGGAAGTCCTGTCTGGTATATTGTTGATCTGATTGGAAATCTGCCTATTAGAATATTTAATGCATAACATCAGTTTATATTTAATTCATAATATATAAATATATAGCAAATATTTTAAGCAATCATATTTGGTATGACTGAGATTGGGAATTATTTAATAGGTAGTGGAACCATAAATATTATGTAATAGGGAAGACTATTGGACAGGGCACATTTAGCAAGGTTTGTCAAGCAATCAATCAAGTGATTGGCCATGAGGCAGCAGTAAAGGTTCTTGAGAAGAAGCAAATCAACTAAGAGGGAGACGTGGAGCGAGTGAAAAGAGAGATTCAAATATTGAAGATCCTCCATCATCCGTAAATCGTGAAACTTTATGAGGTTAAAATTTATCATCGATTAATCTCTAGGTGATTGAGACAGAAAACCACATCTACTTGTTCATGGAGTATGCAAATGGCGGAGAACTCTTTGATTACATAGACAGAGTTAAACAGTAAGACAATTCATTTTAAATGAGTAGAGTAACAGAATACGAAGCCTGCAAATTCTTTCATTAAATCATCTCAGGACTAGAGTACATCCATGGTCAAAAGGTCATCCACCGAGATCTGAAACCTGAGAACCTATTGCTAACGAGCGATAGAGACATTCTCATTGCCGATTTTGGTTTGAGCAACCTTCAAAAGGATATGCTCAAGACTTGTTGTGGTAGTCCTTGTTATGCAGCTCCAGAAATGATACAAGGAGAACCCTACAATGGATAATAGACTGACATTTGGAGTTGTGGGATCATTCTATTCGCCATGATATGTGGCTATTTGCCATTTGATGATCTTAATACTCAGAATCTGTATTAGAAGATCATTAATGCCGAATTCACTTTCCCAAAACATATCTCAATTGATGCCAAGGATCTGATTAAGAAAATTTTAGTGGTTAATCCATAAAAAAGATATTCAATTTAGCAAATTAAAAGACATAAGTGGTGGCAATTATGGAAAAGAGATGTCTAATATTTCGATATCATTAGAATCCCCCAATGTCAGCATTTAAGGCCAGATGCATTACAATTCCTTGTTAATTTCTGCCAAACAGTCCTTATAATCAAGAAATACCCAACTTACCTAAATATTCCCCAAGGAATGCTAAATCACCAGTTGCTAAATCTCCTCCTACAAAGTCTCCAAACACCAAATCAACTACATCGAAATTATCAAGTTGTACATATAAATAGGTTTATGATAAAATTAAAATGCGATAGACACCCTCTAAATCATTGCATGAATCTTCGAATAATTGTAATCCTAAAAGTAATCATAATACAAATGTCAATAAATAAAATATCTTTATTAAATAACAAAATAATTACGCTTTTTATAATAAGCATAAAAAATAACCTTCAGGATAATACTCAACTTTGATGAAATAAACATAATTTTAAAAAGTTGTTTAGAGTATGCATGAGAGCGGAAATTAAAAATCATATATAAATGCAGCACCTTTTAAAACTCCTACTAAACATTTCTATTCTCATACTAAGAATGTCAGTGATTTGGAAAAAACCAAATTTCAAACTAGTCTAAAAATTGATGAATCTTAATCCACTTAAAACATCCTCTAAAGGTTTACGTCTGGCTTAAATAGCTTGAGGAACTCTCCCAGACAACCTATCAATATTCGAGGAATTGAATAACACACTGGTCCCTATCATTTATCTTTCATAACCAAGAAGCATCCTCAATTGTTCATTGATATGATCCACAACTATTTGAAATTGCACTTTCCAATAATTATCTATGAGAATTACTCAATCACTTTAAAACTAACCGATGATTCGTTGATTGAGGTGAGATTGAAAAGGATTGAACAGATAGATGTGTACTATTTGGACATCATCTAATAAAATAAGGACTTTGCTGAAATCCAATAGTTTGTCAAGGATCTAAGATCGAATATCAAATTTTGAAAAATTAGAACTACGACTAGTGACATAATTTAAAGATATTTTATTTATTATACTAAACCAAGAATATTCTTATATTATAGAAAAACCATTTAATATTATAACGATCCTGTGATATGCTGTTAAATCATTTGAGATTTGGTTGAGAAAAATCAAAATAAAATTGCTCCCAAATTATTTAATTTAAACACTATGTTTAAAATTACATAGACTCAAATTTTGGAATGGGTGAAGGATGGCAACGCTGAAACCCTGAGCACATTCTTTGAATCAAGTCTCCAACAAAATCAGAATGGATTGAACTCGTTTTTCAAAATGGTTGACAAGGAGAAACGAAATGTAGTGCATTGGGCTGCTTATTTGGGCCAATCGGCATTGCTAGAGAAATGGCTGTCATAGCATTCATAAATTATTGACCTCAACCAGGTTGATCTACACCACTACACTGCCGTGGAACTTGCTAGCATAAAAGGGTAAGTGATATTATTTCTATTTAAAGTTTTATGAAGGAATATAATTCTTAAGTTCAGTTTAGGTTGATCAAGTTGCTTCTTGATCATAAAGCCAAAATGCCTACTGAGAACAAACACAAAAGAGCCAATCCATTGCATTGGGCATACTATTATGGAAACTTGGAGTTAATTGAATTTCTCTTATCCAATTACCAGGATCTGCAATATCAATTAGACTAATTTGACATGTATCCAATCGATTACTTGTTTCTGGAAAACAGACCCGAGGAATATCAGTAATAGTTATGGAAATTTTATATAGAAAAAAATACAAGGCGATATTTGTGAAGACTGTGTAAGAGTACGCCTTTAAAAACGACGGTCATCAATTCAAGACTATTAGGAATTTGAACACTCAAAGAACTATAGCCTTGGGATCCTTGTAGATCAAATCAAATAATCTGGAAAACCCAGTTATGATCAATGATTAAAACTAGAATTAGAATTAGAATTAGCTCCTTCTGAAAGAGCCAGCAAATGAGTTGGAAAGCATAGATTAAGATAAAATCAATTAACATCTGCAATGCGGATAAACAGCAATGACCTTAATGTCAAAAATACACCAAACTAGTACAACCTAGCAAAAGAGGGATTCAATCAGTTCCAGAATTAGTTAATAATTCAAATCCATCCAGGAGAGAATGAAGAAATTACCTAGTAAATACGTGCAGAATGAACTCCCCTTTGAAGATTCTTAATAGGATTTTCATGAACCTGAAGCAGAGAAGATTCCGTCAGTAAAAATTATCTAACCAACAAACACAATCTTCTCGGATCCTCATCAAAACATTACGGAAAACATTGAAAATCCCATTACTTCTAAGAATGATATAGAGAGTGAGCGAAATCAATTTAGAGTCTTGTTATAATCAGACGATGAATTTGGTAGACTATTCAAGTCTAACAATATACCTTCTCGATCTGAATAATCTAAATGCATGGTTTCACAATATTTATAATCATAAGTTCCTTCTTAATTTGGAAGACAATTATCCCAAGAAATGCAAGCATCACAAGATGACTATCGACCTTCAATGAATGATATCAGGCCTTCGATGAAGGATATTTAAAGAGTAAGATCTGTGAGACCTTCATTGAAAAGACCTGGATAGAAGTTGATAACTAGGAAAAGCACCACCTTTAATGAGACCTACACTATCTACCATTACACAAAGAGCCAGACGAAGAAATAGTTATTTGAATGCAGATTGCAGTTTTGGTCAGCCAGAATTGAATCAACAGAATTCTTTAGTTATTTTTTGAAACACAAATGCAACCCATTTTTAATTTAATATCAAGGATTCAATTGTCTCCACATTGCTGCCAACAAAGGGAAGTATGAGATTCTAAAATAAATCTTGGAAAGTGAATACGAGTATCAGGAATTAAAAGACCTTTTAACATTGCATAGATCAATCACTGTAGGACAATTCTCAAAGACATACATTAAAAAGGACATATTTAACAAGGTAAATGTCACTTCTTACTCTTATAGGTCGAAGCATTTAATATGATGACTGAATAGAATCCTTCTAATGCATTGCATTTAGCTATTGAGATTAATAATTTCAAGTGCATGAAAATCTTAGTAGAACACGGCGTTTCAATGGATGTTTTGAATCATCGTTGCTTGATGCCAATAGAACTGACATTCGATGAAAAAATGGTGAAGTACTACGAGAATCACTATCTCAAGGGGAAGGAGCAGAGTTTCAATCTGATGGGATACATGTATGTCATTTAGACTTCTGGGAATTAGGACATATGTTAGGACATTGTATTGTTGTAATTATAGAATATCAGGCAGTCATTCTAGCAAAGAAATATGGAATTTGAATTCCTCATAATAAATACTCCAAATTATAAGTATATGTAAAATGGAAAAGAGCATTGTGTGAAGCATCACTATTATGTGGTCAAGTTGTCAGCAGACACAATCTACAAGTTGGCAGATATCTATTAGATTGAATGCTATCACTTTACAAAGAAGGTATAATTTAATTCAATTCCTATTCTAGCATTTAACGAAATTTAAGTATGGAGATTATGGTCATTTTGAATTCCCAAAACCATTGTAAATTCAATAACTCATCATTAATGTGTTAAATGAGGAATTTGATTTGGAAAAGTTTGTTTTGGAAGGTTTGGTGACTTCCCATTTTCCTTTGGAGGACAGTTCTAAGTCATTAAAAGTTAATGAAATGTGGAAGGATCTTCAATACAATTGCATTAGAGATACTATCAGAATAAAGACTCATTAGATCGCCTTGAGACCTTTGAATTCAATAGCATCATACTACGGACCTGTTATTGCTTGGTACATAGCCTTTAATGTGTAAATAGTGGGATGGTTGATTATACCGGCTTTGGTTGGATCAGCAATCCAATTATATCAATTGATTGCTGATAAAATTCAGTAAGATATCAAAATATCAAAAGCGCTGCGATTCTGCCATCTTATGCTTTATTTATGTCTTTATGGGCTACTCTATTTATGGAGAAGTGGAAGAACAGAGAATCAGAACTCAAATACATTTGGGATATGCATAAGTTTAAGTAGCAGGAGCCTCAGAGAGTCATGTACACAGGACTTTATACAGTTGAGCCATGCACAAGCAAAATTGAAGTGTATGACTCTTTTACAACATTCAAGAGGAGAATGATAGCTGAGTTTCCTGTGATTTTGTTGGGGTTTTCAATAATTTTGGTGAGTTTTTTGGCATTCAATCAATGGCAGGGGTAACAGGATCCTTAAAGTGTGTATATGCCCATAATTATTAATTCATTGAATGGGGTTAGTATGACTGTTTTATGTGATCTATATAAGCGTCTATGCAAATATGTGGTGAATTGGGAGAATCATAGATTTAATTCTGAGATGCAGCATTCTTATGTTTTAAAAGTATTTTTGTTTGAATTTTTGATATCTTACATTTCAGTAGTTTATGCTGTGTTATTTAAAACTGATTAGACATAATTAGCATTATCAGTGGCTAGTATAATTATTACAAGAGGTTTGATTTCTAATTTATAAAGTAATTGTCTACCCTATCTATTATATAAATATTTGAAGTGGGGTCTGAGGGATCAATTTGAAACGTTTTAGGTTTTCAAGGAATAATTCAAGATTTGTGATATGTAGTATGTGAAGGAGAAATTGAAATAGGCTCAGTAGATCGAGTTCATGAAGTTGATGGAAGACAGCAATAACAAATAGCCATAGAAGGACTTGTATGAGGAGTATACGAACATTGCGATACAATTTGGATACACGACTATGTTTTCGCCTGCTTTTGCTGCAGCCCCTTTATTTTTCCTGTTGAATCAATTTATTAATTTGCAATTTTCAATATCAAATTATCAGAGAGTTCTAAGGCGAGAAGTAAGATTTTTAAATACTAAAGAGAGCATAAGCTGCTGACTCGATTGGCATTTGGTTGTCCATTTTTGAATTAATGAATTACTGTTCCACCTTCATGAATTGTCTGGTCATAGGGATAGTGAATAAGGCTGAGTTTGAAGGATTGATAGGAGACAGCAATCCACTGATATAAGTGTTGGTGTTGGCAGCTATTGAACACATGCTATTATTAGTAAAATACTTATTAGGGATAATGATTCCGGATTGTCCATATTGGGTTTCAAAGGAGTTGAGAAAGTATGCATATTTTGAGGGATAGAGTGCTAAAATTCATGATGATAGTGAGATTATTTTTTGATTTTAATTGATTTATTTAATCTAAATGAAAAGAAGTGTTGCAATTTCCAGTTTATCCGGATCTCCAAAACGAATGCTTTCGTAAATGAGTATATATGGTATCACTTGGATATATTTGAGATTTTCCGAATTTGGAACTGTTATCATAGAATTACGAAGATGAGCAACTGGGTTACATGTTAACTGAAAGTGTCATCGTGTGTAGATTCATCTGTCGATAGATTATTCAGAAGGCAAGTAATATCATTTAGGAGAACTACATAATGAATTAACTCGTACCCTTCGGTTGCAAATGGACAGAACAATTCATGAATATGATCATAACAGATATTACAGAGGATATCAATTGCATAGATTCCAATTAGGATGAGATCGAACCAAAGCCATGTCCAATAGAACATTGGAGAAGAATGATTGGGTAGGTCTAGAGTCCCAAGAGGACCTTGATTTAGAATCGATCTTTTAGAAGAGAGTCTAAAATTTAGAGCACTCAGTTCAGTAAAGGGGATATCGAGAGATTCGACACTCAACCAGTCAAGATGGGAGATCTGGATGACGACGTTGATTTTGATACGGAGATTGAATCTATGCGTTAAGCTAAGGCAAGATAAATATTTAATTTGCAATAAATGCAGATGCAAGATCTAATAAAAAGGCAAGAGTACCAAGAGATGAATAGACAACTGAAGAGATTGAATGTTGATTCTAAATGTATTAATCAACTTACGTAGCCAAATACACTTACGATTTTGAGGGTAGAGTGATAGTTCAGAAGCCACCAGATGTAGAACGCTATCCTAAGACTAATCAGGAAATCCAAGAAAAAAGAGTGCTCTTAGAAGTCAAGGATCTCTTCCCTTTTCATAAAAAGAAATTAGAATCTATTTGCAATTACAAAAAGAAGACGACTGAACAATGTAACCCTTCAACTTTATCTAATCGTATTAGCTAATCCTAAATTGACATTATCTAATTGCAAAAGGGAGTAACTTTCATAGAAGGCAAAAACGAGAAGAGAAATGATCGTCAACACTCTTTGGTTGAAATCAAAGACCCCAAAGAATTGCAGAAGACTTTATCCTAAATCCATCTGAAAATGAGCAAGGAGGAGTATTCAATCATCACCAATCAACCCTTGTAGTCTAGTTACACCACTAATAAGAATTTGAGTCTCACTCAAAACTAAACTCCCTAACCATTCCAGCAGCAGAATATCCAAACCATCCCCCTATCTATTAACGGAGATCAAAGCATCCAATCTCTTAACTCCTCTATATTATAAAAACTCAATGGAACCATTTCCATCATCTCCGATCACTATGAGGAATTGCTGGTACAAGAACCCTCTTCCTTGATCACACCTACTACATCGAAATTGCCGCAAATTCAACATCAAGTCTCCTAACCACAAATTCCATAACACATGCTCACTGAACCTACCTCATATGCCATAGCCAATTCTGTAACTAAATTGCCCAAGACCATGTATGTCCCAGGCACATTTTCAAAAATAATACCCAAATACCCCAGAGAGAGAATCTCACGTATTGTCAAATAGATCAAGTTTTGATATTTCCCATTTGCATCCAGAAACTATATAGAATCCAAGTATAATTGTTTTCATTAACTAAAATAATAATTATTGTATATTTAATGTTAGATATTCCAAAACTTAAGAAATTTATATTCCCTTTGATTGGAACATTGACCATCTTTCAATTATCACTCCAATAATCAATGCCTATTCATACTTTAAATAAACTTTTACAATCTCATTCTAATTCAAAACAAGCCCATGAAACCTTGATATTATAAAATGGAATCTATATATTTGGATGTGTTTTGGGATCTGAAACCTACAAGTATCATCATTAACCATAAGCACTAGATTACTAGCAAATCAGTCTAGCAAATTTATTTTTCTCTTATCAGACGTACTTTATTTTTTAAGCAATTGCACAGTCTTATTACTCTCTATTACAACTATGGATAATCAACCAATTGAAGCTTACCTGATTTTAAGAGTATTTGTAGGAATTGCCAATGGATTGAATTATGCACAATCCATCATTTACGTCAAATAGATGAGTTCGAAAAAGGAGAGTTAATTTTTCTTCAAACTAATCCCCCTTTAATTGCTAATAGGCTAGTTTTTGGGAGCCTTTTGGTTGGAGCATTCAAATCAATTTGCCACATTTCAACAATTTCTGAATGTAGTTCTCATACTCAACTCTGTAAGCGTTCTTCGAATGATTCTACTTTAGTTTTTATAAATCGAAACTCCTCAATACTATCTATAAATTCTCAAGGATTCAAGGAGATCCAAAATGATTTATTAGGAAATTCACAACGATAACATTCAAACCTACTTTGGATTCGAACAAGAAACCCTCAGAAACAACATCCACCAAAATACTTCGGAGTATCTGATTTCCAAACCCTATTTAAAGAAGTATTTTAAATGCTGCTTATTAATCGTGCTCACTCAATTCACCGGGGAAACCTTAATCTTTTCCTTCCTCTACTCACCGCTTACCAAATCCTATCAAGATGTTGACAATGTGTGGATTTACGCCTTTGTCACTGGAATATCGCTGGTTGTGCTTCAAATGGTATTCTATAACTTCATCAAGAGAAAAAAGATTATCACCTTGATTGGGTAAGCGATCATTTGTATTGCGTTGGCATTCCTAGGGTTTTCAAATTCCCTTTGGGCACTCATTCTATTGCAATTCGGGTATAGTTTGGGAATTGGCACTTAAATCTTTTCGATTATCCCATACTAATTACCGGAATTTGGCATCCTCTATTGTATAAACATACAATGGATAATCGGATTGATTGAAATGTGCTTCTATGGGTTATTTTTAAATAAACTGCCAAGTAGCGACTCCTTAGAACAGGTGCATGCACTACAAGAATTAATTTAGATTTACTTTTTTGTAAGTTGCGTTGGATTGATCTTGATATTTATTATCCTGAGAGTAAGAAAACTTTCATTTTAATTAGCAACCTATTCGAACACAGCCCTAATAGAAGATTAAAAAAGAAGAGAAAAAGTCTATATGAAATAATTCCTTATTTATATCAAATTTAATTAATAACATGAACATTAATAATGTATATATATAATACATGCATTTGAAATCCAAAATTATCTATGAGAATTGATATATAAACTTATTCAGAAAATAGTTCTTTCAATTTTATTTATTTATTTATTTCGTTTTTAAATTAGAAAAAAACAATTAAAATTAACAAAAAAAATCATGAAAAATAGCCAAGATCAAGACATTGGTCTAAATTTAGTTTATTTAATATAACAACATAAGTATTGCTATCCCTTAAATATGTAGTTTGGCATAAGTTAGAAAGAAAGTAACTATTGACCAATTCCATCTCTTAAGTGTGATTGGTAAAGGATCCATAGGAAAAGTTGTACTTGTAAGAAAGAAGGACAATTAAAAGATATATGCTCTTAAAGTCATCAAAAAAACCAAGTTGATCGAAAATCATTCAGTGAAGCAAATTTTTGCAGAAAGAAACATTCTTGTAGATATAATAGAATTTATATTTTAGTAAAATTGCCAACATCCATTCATCATAAAATTAGAATATGCCTTCTAAAATGAAACTAAGTTATACTTTTGCTTACAATATTGTCCAGGAGGAGAATTATACCAATTATTAGTTTAAAAAAATAAGTTGACAGAAGAACAGTAAATATCATATTTGATATCTAAAGAGCTAAATTCTATGCATCACAAATCATTCTAGCCTTCTAATACCTGCATGAATAAGATATAATCTATAGAGAGTATAAATAACCATTTAAATAAGTTTAAAACCAGAGAACGTATTGATTGATTAAGAAGGTTATATTAAGCTAACTGATTTTGGATTCTCCAAATAAGGGATTTAAGGTAACTTTGGAGCACATTCCAAATGCGGAACAGCAGAATATTTGGCTCCAGAATTATTAGCAGGTAACCACGGTAAAGCAGCTGATTGGTGGACATTTGGAACTTTGATTTATGAAATGGTTATTGGTTAGCCAGCATTTTTTGGAGAAACCAAAGAAGAATTATTCAATTAAATACTTCATCATGAAATAAATTACAAAAAAATTGGTGCTTCGTCTTAATTTAAAGATTTGTTATCTAAATTATTGTAAAAAGATCCAAACAATAGAATTAGTTCGGCAAATGAGGTAAGGATTCTAAAGATATTAAAATATAGATTAAAAAACATCCTTGGTTTAAGAATATCGATTGGGATATGATTTTAAAAAGGCAAATGCCTCCTGTATTTATACCTATATTAAACAGTGATGATGATGTTTAATACTTTGATGATGTAATTTTGATTTCTAATTTTGTTTAGTGTTTCCTCAAGGAACCTATCAACTCTTAAACAAACTCATTATCCTTAGAAGAACAAATGTAGAGTCCATTTTAAGGGTTTTCGTATTCTGCTTCTCCCTAACAAAAGAAAGAAGAATAATTGGAATTTTGATTTCTTTACTTTAATTAATTAAATTTATATAATAGTATTTGCATTGATAACATTCACTTTTTCTTTTTTGAAGTATTTTTGTTTCCATAATTAACTAAATCATAAAGCAGTTTGTATTTTTATTCAATTTATTCTATACTATTTTTTCTTTTTCCAAGGTCCAAATAACCACTTTAAGAATTAGGAGTTGTGATTGTTCCTGTTGTTTAATAAGTTGGAGTCAAGCATTTAAGATATTTTGGAGCATCATCCACTTTGAGTTGAATTTCTAACAGTTGTTTCATATCAGTTTATTGATTAATGATCTACGTAGAATTCGATCGTTATAATTACAACTTACTTGTGCTATTTTATAAATCATTTTTGTGAAGATCCATCATTGAATTTCTAAAATGTTATTTTTTTTTGTTGAATTTCTTTTCCCATTGAAGATTTCTATAATAAACATCACAACTATCAATTCTATTGTTACTGGTATCCCTCAAGTTAGGACTGAATGTACACTATAATTAAATTATAATAATTACCTCTTTAGTAGCTTTCTCCTTTTAGATTTCAACTTATTAAGTTATCTTATCATTCTTCTTTCTCATCCACGTGCTTTATCTTTCGAAAAAACTACTGGAATGGGCAACCTTAGATTTCTGATTAATCTTGGGATTGAATGTACATTCTTTCATTTCTTTTGTGGTGTTTATTAATTGGCCTTAATCAATAAAGGTCTTTTGTTTTTCTTGTAAGCATATCGCTTTTTTAAAGAGATAATCCTATTGAGTCTGTAAACTGAATTTTGTCTATGATGAATGCTATGTGTTTAAGCTTGTGTAAGATGTTTTGCGAACATTATTTGAAGTTGGTGTTAAAATATTTTTTTTAATTTCCTTCGATATTAAATCGCTTAATCTATTTAGTTAATAATTCTTTTTAGTATTTTGATTAAGCATGTTTTCTTTTTCTTGAGTGAATTTTTTTATAAAACCCTTGTTTTCTTGGATTCGATCTTTGGGTTGCTTAACTTATAAGTTTGAAAATAATTTTAACTATTTTTAAATGAGTTGTTGATTTTATAGAGTTTCATTTATGTGTTCTCTCTCACTAGAAAGTGCATCCGAAAAATCAGGTGTTGGATCATCTAAAACTACTGAATTCTTAAATGCCAATAAGGATTTGGAACTTATTATACTTAATATCAATCGAATACTTATAAATAAACGAGAAATTTTAAGAACCCATAAATTCATTCTATGAAGGATGCCTTACTACCTAATCTACAATAGATTCCGTTAGAGCAGATGGATTATCATGATTGTTAGTGGTGATTGCTTTAACGTTTGCCAGATCGTCCGGCTATTCAAATCCAAAGTTCTTTATTTTTTTTAAACTCAACAAAGCCTCTTTAGCTTGTGGAGATAAATGCTTGAATGATTCGCACTGACCCAAGGTATGAGCAGATGAAGTATGAATTTGCATCCAACGTATTAACAAATTAAATTTATAAATAGAAGTAAGTTGCCGATTAACAGCAAATAGTATATATAAAATTGATATAATATTTTCATTATTTCTTAGCTACATCCATTTGATACTGCAGCTCATCCAATTATCGTTGTAAGTCTTCCAACTCATGCATGGGAACTGATTCAGATGCATCATCATCTTCCCTCTAATCGTTCTAATCTACAAATCAACTATGAAATTGTACTCTAATTATTGATTCCCTTCTTGCTTTATTTGTTTGTTTGCTTCATCGTTTTGGATGCTCCTCTTGATTGACTGCCCTTCACCTTAATAGTTTATTGTTAATTATTATTATTAGCAGTATTCTTCTTTCCAGAAGAGTAGATAATGCCTGTCTCCTTGGCTAATTACTACTTAAGTTACTAGGCTTCTTCCTAATATTTAGCCAAATCTTCCGGAGACTTATTTTCGTTTTATTTTTCCACATGTGATTTCTCACAATCCTTTACTTTCTTAGTTAAAATTTTGATGTCATTCTTAAACCCTTCAACTTCCAAGGATCTTCTCTTTTCCAATTATTAATATCTAATTTATGATGAAATAATACTTCTCAATCAATTTGGATAGATTCTCTTCCAATTATTATATTTTGTTAATATAAATATTCTAAACTTATTCATATTGTTCTTTGATGATTGACAATTGCTCGTCTTTTGATTTGATTTGACTTCTGAATTTCTTATTGTATTCATCAGACTTCTTTTCAAGCAATTCTAAAGCTGTTTTATTTTCAATATTGTATTTCCTTTAGATTTAATCCAATTCCATCTTCAATTTTTTATTCTTCAACTTTGCTACTTCCAAATCCTCTTGCATCTACCTCTCCTTATTCTAAAATTTCTGTTTTTATGCATAACAATCTATAATAAGTTATATTGATTAGAGATACCTTTAACAAGTTCTACATTTTGTTTCTCCAATTTTTATATTTTTTAAACCAATTAATCTAATTTCTATTGGTCTTCTTTTATTCTTAGATTGGTTTCCACTTCCTTTGCTCTCAACTCCTCCCTCAAGGCTGCGAATTATTGAGTCAACATTGTTTCTGCATTTTCAACTTATTTTTTCAAATTTTCATTCTCCAACTAATATGCATTCAACTATTCGTTTGGCATATACACTGTTTTTAATATGCTCCTTCCTTAATTGATATTGTGCATCTTAACACTAAATAGTTTAATTCATTCAACATACTTTCCCTGCTTCTCTCTTACAGCCAATGTGTCACCTGTATATTTTGTAGTTACTTCAGGTCTTAAATCTTTTGATAATACTACTTATTCCTCAATGGGTTCAATCATGGCCATCAATTCAGCAATCTTCTTTTTATCTTCCAATTCTCTCACTTTCAAAGCATCGTTCTCCTTTTACAACTTCAATCTGGCTTATCTCTCCTCAAATAGCATTAACTAAATTCATCAATTCTATATGTACTTTTGCCTCTCCCACTGTTTATTACAACTCCTTGATCTCCTGTTTCCTCTTTAGTAATTCCCATTCCTATTGATGTTTGTCTTCATATTAAATTTTGATTTCCTCCAATTTTGTTAACCATTCAAATCTTTCCTTCTCGAATTCTCCCAATTTAGATCGATAATACGCCAGCAAGTCTTAATACTGTTGGGGATCGTTGGGATTGATCGAAATCAAATTACTCAAATCTCGTTAACTCATTTTATAAACGTTAATTATTATTTGATTTTTGTAATAAAAACCAACTCATACTTATACATAATTATTCATCATTTGATTTTGATACCAAACTCTTCATACAATCTATTTATCTCCTCCTTAGAATTCTTGTTATTGATGTGTAAACTCTATAAATCACTCTCTGATATTTATTAACAATTGATAATCTGATTCAACTCCTCCGGCTTGAAGTCATCAATATCGTAATTGAAAAAGCTCTCTCCCAAAGGTTTTTCCGATTCCTTAACTACCAGTTCAGATATTCCCAAATACTTAGCTTCCTTCTAATTATGATTCTCGACTTAGTTTGATATCGATTATCCCTATGATATAAGCCCAGTGTCTTGTCTTCTTTTCATTTCTGGTTCCATCTGAGTGATGATAACTTCAATCTCGGTGATCTATTCTTTATCCTTTCTTCTCAAGTCTTTCTCGTCTTCATCGCTATCTTCAATTTCATCTTATCTAAATAGAATTTCTGATTCCCTTACAATAGTTGTTAATGTTGTATCTTGGGACAACAATCTTCAAATGGAAATTCATACTCTCCAACTGATTGATATTTCTATTTATGTCTAAAGTGCTCAGCATCAACAATGTAATAGTTGACAATCATTCCTAAATATCATTGTGATGATTACTTCGGATTAGTTCTACAATGCCGATATACAAGATGAGGAGACTGTGTTATTCCTTCTTATCGAAACACCCAAAGATAGAGGTGGATATTGATAATGGCTGGATAACTCCAAAAGGTAGGTATATTATTAATAGTTTTTATTTATAAGAGAGTAATTATTTCTTTTTTCTCCTTTCTTTGACATCCAAATAACTCCATTTCTTGATACTAGATATGATATTAAAAAATGCTATAAAAATCGCCATTCCCAACCAATAATAAAAAAGGTCAGATTCCTAATAGGATAAAGTGGCGAAGATTATCAAAACAATAGAAAATATGTTTCTGATGAATTCTATTATAAAAAGGTTGCCGTTCATCTGCTTTTGAGTCAAAAATATGATCTAAATCATCAGAATCAAGTAGGGAATCAACACCAATGCCAATGTGAAATATCTAGAAATAAAAAAGCATTCGTCGTACTAGTTAAAGTCAGTCTCCTCCTGATTGTTGATCTATTAAATAAATCAATTACGTACTCCTTTTGAATATTCACAAACTGTATAAGTGAGATCAGTAAATGGGATAATTAATGAAGTGAACTGGCTGAATATGAAATAATGTCGTTATTCTATTAGTTTCAGATTCAGGCATTGCCATAAATTACGATAAAGCCACAATCGACCTTGTCCATTAATCATGAATTTTGAAGGAAATGCAACTGTTGCAAAAACAGAAGTCCAGATTATCAGTGGGAAGTACTCCTCTCCTTTAAGATTTGAAAATATAATGCCTAATTTAGAAACATCACATAGATAAAAAAGACTAACTAGCAAAAAGATCGAGGTCAAACTCATTACTCTTTTCAACTGCTCATTGATCGTAGAGAAATGATGATTGAAGCAGAAATATAATTTATAATTAATCTTGGATTTACTCCATAAGTAAATAACTATAGTTAAGGACCAATAGTAAAGGATAAACAACAAGGCTCCTCTGTAAATAGGGAATTGTTCATAAATAATAGCATTGTTTTAAATGTTCAACTATTTTTGAGTTGCTAAGAATATGATAAACGATATCAACATCAATGAAAAGCCTGTGAATAGACCAAATTAAAACCAGGCTTTATTATTTTTATAATTTTGAAATTGATATTTACGAAGTTATTCCTTACATACCTATTATTGAGTTTGGTAGAAGTTCTTTAAAAGGTATTTTTAAACTTGAAATAACATTTATTTGACTTTATTTAGTTATTATTCAAAATTGATTTCTGAAGCCAATTTCTTACATTCATCCAAATTTACTTATTCTGAATTCATCTTGATGGATTTCTTCATTTATTTCTTTAAAAGTTTACGAATGGCTTCTTGGTTGATTTTTAAATACTTCTCCAAGTTCACTCCTTCGTTAAAGAGTTAAAAACATAATTCTTTCAACTTAAGGCATTTCTAATTGAAGTCTGACTCTTAGACCTTGATTTATTTGTTAGTTAATTACTCAGTTAACTCTTCGGCTACCTAGGAACTCACTCGTATTACTGAACGTTTTCTGCTCCTCTCTAATGATCTTTTTTATCTATTCATTGACAGAATTTATAATTAAATTTTATAAGTCTTGCCCTTTAAATCGTTATACTTTGCATTCATAAAGGATCTTATTTTAACCAACTCTTAATTAAGTTTTTTATTGAATTCCTTCTGATCCGCCAAGATTTTTGACATGATATAAGTTTTTTCCATAACGACTTTCTTTATTTCCCTGTACTCCTGAGTGCTCATCGTTTTTTTGGCATAGAGTAGGAAATCTTTGAGAGCGCCTGAAGTCGATAAATAGGCTTTTAAGGCCTTATAATTGAAATACATTAATGCCCACTCCGGAATAATATTGTTTATTAAGAATTCAGCGAATTTCATTTAATTATTTTTTAATCGTTAGAACAAAATTACATATGAAGCTCTCTCGCATACCCGTAAGAGCATTTGGTAACGCAGCATACCAACAGCCTATCGAATAGCGCCATTTAAGACCTTCTTCCATTTAGTAAAGCTTGGAACCAAGACAAATAATGAGATGCGTCTCCTAAGAGCAAAAATTACCTCATCCGCAATTACAATATGTTCAATACCCCCAACAAAGGTAATGTCTTGACTTAATGGCAATTTAGAGGTTCTAGCCCACCAATTCGAAAACCGCTGTAAGAGACTGTTGCGTATTACAACTAATAATAATACTAATAGAGTGTGCCCCTGAAAACTGAACAGCAACAAAAGACATGTGAATTGAGTAAGGTTCGATCCTCAGCCCAATTGAATTTAGTTTAATAGGATGACACAAATCAATCAACTATTATCAAGCAATAGAATGAATAAATTCAACAATTGCAAACTCAATTATCAGAGAAAGTTCATTAATATCAATAGCTGTAAGAGAGATTTAATGTTGAATTCAAGAAATTTCAGGAAGACTTTAGACACAAATTGACCAATATTGATTTAAACATTACTTAGAATGATTACACTTAATAATTTATGTTGGAAATCGATAGGAAAGTTTCAAATCTGTAAAACAATCTAAATGAACAGATTAAGGAATTATAGGAGAATTTTGAGTAGAAGACTAAACAGAGTGAACATTTAGTTAAAAATCTATCTTCCAACACATCAATAAGATTGAATGAGGATGAATAGCATTTCAAATAAGAAGTGGAGAATTTGAACTCAAAATTGAATTCTAAGGCTGATAGATAAAAAGTGGAATAGACTATATAAGTATAAATTGCTTAATTATAAAATTAATACTAATTATAATTGTAATAGGCTCATTAATTGTTAAATAAAATAAACAATGAAAAGAGTGATGAATTATCATAAATCAAAAATTAAATCCAAAACACTTTAATGCATCTAACATAATAAGTCAATCAAAAATTACAACACATGTATGATACAATTAATGAAAGAGACTAAGAGAATAACAGTAAAAAACACGAGAGCAAATAACTCAGTTAACATTTCACTAACTTGTAAAATAAGTTTTAGCAATTGTAATAACAATCTATTGAAACTATTACATAATTAAAGTAAAAAAACAAATAGATGGAAAAGGAGAAGCAAGAACTAAATAAACAATTGACTTAACAACAATTCTTGGTTTCGTAATTCCAATCTGAAATTACTAAATTGAAAAATACTAACTCTTAATTGACTTTACAATTATCTCCTTAGGCTAAATAGAATAGTTTCTTTTCTACTTCTACTGCAGTAGCAAATTAGAAGTCTAAGAAACAATTAAGCGTTGTAAACAAGAAAAATGAAATCAGTCTGGATGATTTCGCAGATTTTAATGAAAATTCGTTGCTTGATTCCAATGAGAGTTTTGAAATTAACGAAACTTGTGGTTTCAGTAAAACCAAAAAGATAATTTAAGTTGAAGAGTTTTAAAGTCCCCCAAGAAATCCCTTTAAGAAATCTTAACTATCTAACATCAATAAACTATTAAATGAGAACTTGAGTGGCTAATTGTCTTGTAAAAGCAGAGGAAAATCAGCACCTTTACCAATGGTCAACGCATTAACAAAGGCAATAAAAAGAAGTATAAAATTATTAAATTAAATTTCAAAGGGTTGCTTTATCTAGGGAAAAATGATAGAGTTTTGACATGCACTTATGATTCTGAGAAACATTTAATAGATTGTGATATGGGATTGTGTCTGTTGGATGAGAATGGTTCTCCCTTTGTGGTTAGTGAATAGGAGAAGACTCAGTTGATACAAATGAAGTTGATCAAGATAAATTGACTACTATCATTCATACTTATATATATATATTGGTATATAACAATTGTGTTACTAATTTTATAATATTAAAATATTTATCATTATTAAATATTATTAAATCATAACTTTAACTCTCATTATTTATAATTAACTTTTCAATAAAAATTAAGATCAACTCCAACATTGCACAAGGTTGTGTCTCCTTAATATTGTTTGATTGATGGAGTGGACCATCCACCGAAAGAATATTTAGAATAGTCACTAAACGAGGGGGAATTGTCATAATGGGCATACCAAAGGGGCTTTGAAGTGAAATAAGCACAGGATGAAGCTGATCCCATAATCGTTGACCATTAATATTGAGATGCATATATTCCAACCAATCTCCCTCTGTTTCCTAACTCTCTCACTATGTCTTATAAAAATTGACAATTTCCTGAATAATCTGAGGTGCTCCATCCACATCCAGTACTGGGGTTGTATTCAACATCAATCCACACTGTACCATACTCTGAAGTAAATACACTTTCAAATTCGGACACTTAAGCTGAAGCTGTCTTCTCTTAAGAAAATAGGATTTATTTTTATACTTCCTTTGCATGGGAAAAAGTATGCATCTCCGATCAATCCAGCTGCTTTGGCATTTCTTAAATTTTGGAGACCAACGGTATCAGCAGCACCATAACTCATATATCCTCTTACAATAGCAAATTAGTAGCCAGCATTTTTGATGCATGAAAAGTTATTGAAGGATGCACTCAAATCAACTCCTTTCACTGCAATTACTGTTGGAACAACTATTACAATCAAGAATAGGATTTAATTGAATTATTTCATATTTTAAATAGTGAAATTTAATGAAAATTGCTACTTTAAGAATATCTAAATGACGTAATGATAAATAATTTGATTAATTTTGTGTAGTTTTACTTAAAAATGAATATAGATAGCAAATATTAGAGTTATATAACTGTTACTTGAAGATATATAATATCACAACCATTAATTCATTTGTTCTCTTTAATAGTTTTATTTCAAAATTTAATTTATATTTTTATACTTGAATACTTTTTTTGATTTTCTATATTAGAGTAACATCCAAAGAGATAAATTATTTGAAGTATTAGTTAGAGTGAAATTATAGAATCTTCTTGAGCAATCATTAATACTATTTAACTTAATTAAGAATCAAAGATGTTCCCAATAAAAAAGAGCCTAACACACTTCTTTAAGTATGATTACATGTCCCAATAGAGGATACTTTATTTCAGTAAAGTCTTGATTCCTTATAACGATCTTTTTAGAATTTGAGTGCTTCCTCTTCAAGTATCACTCTAATTATTTTAGATTTTGCACCTTCTGGTTTGATAAATTCTCTTAGATCTTCACCATTACAAAATTAAGTAATGATGTAAATATTAATAGCACTTTAAAATATGTCTACCAATTTAACAAAATGTGAATCAATAATTTTTCATCCTTTAAATTTATGAGACAATAGATGATTACCATAATCGGTAAGTAAAATTTCTAGTCACTGACTTTAAGATAAGCAATACTATCTATAGATAAAAATATACACTTGCCTTCACTAATGGTTAACCCTCATTTACTATCCAAGGCACACCTAACTTTGATCTAAAACTTAATTAGTAGTCCTGTATTTATTTATTTGATGCTTGCCTCAGATGTTTCATTTTATAGTTTGAATTTGAAATATTTATTTAATGTTTTCAAGAATTGTCTAATTTAAAATTTATGGCAAAATTGACGAAAAACTGTATAAACTAATTTCTTAATTTAGAACCTAAAAAGTATATAAAAGCATAAAAGATACCAAATTTATCAAGCCAAAATTAGTGACTCTTCATGTACATGGAGAAGGCTCATTTGTTTAATCTAAGAATATTGCCACTGCAATAAGAAATTATGCAAAATATTATAAGTAACTTTAATACTATTTGTTTACAGAGTACCCTTATACACATTTGGAGAAGATTTTGTATTGAATAGTTCTGTGTATTTAATGACTGTTGGAGATAAAAACTTTGCTAGCGAATATTCTGTCATTGGAGATTTTGGATATGTGTAAAGAAGATTAGGATATAAACAATTAATAGAAAATTTGGGGATGTAATATCATAAGATCATAATAATTAGAGAACACAAGTTTATTCATAGCGGAGAAAAAAAAGTGAAATTAAGTCCTTATGATGATTTAAAAGAAGAAGATGTTAAATGGTAGAAATTATAATGAAGATCATAGGATCGAAGGCCAATTAAAACATAGAGAATCAAGATTAAAAGAGGAGATTATGTAAAACAGAAACTAGAAAGTTGATTAGGAAATGTGGAATTAAACTTTGCTCACTGGTTAATAGGCATTGAAATATGGTTTAGTTGATGGATTAGGAGTCTTTGATGATATTAGAGAGTAAGAATATAAAGGAATGAAGTCATACGATATATTGTCTAATCTTTTGGATTATTATGTTCCTGCCAAGTATAAAAATTAAATTAAATCTAGTGCAACATTTTCTAGTTACTTATCCATTTGATAGAATGTTATATTCATATAAATTATTTAATCAAAGTATCCTATTTCTAAATCCATTATAACAGTTTCAATGCATCCATTGATCTATTTTACTTGAACTGCAATTCAAAAGAAGTATTATATAAATTTTTAGTTTAATCTTATAAATTCAACAACCGACAATCATGCCTCTATTTAACTACTGATTTTAAACCTATGAATTTTAATTCAATGATTTGGTTCTTTTCTCCCAATATATATTCTTGGAATTGATTTGCAACTAATTTTAAATTTCGCAATGATCAGATTAGATTCTTACTATTTTTAGAATTATTCATTTTATAAACTCTCATATGTGGATTTGCCCAAATCATATGCGGTTTGGAAATTGTTTTTATTTCAAAGTAATTCTGAATGTTAATAAATTTCTTTTTATGAATATTAGTAGATTAAATAATCGTAGATTTCAAAGAAAGGAACACTAATCTCTTTCAAGAAATGATCATTTTTTAATAGTTAAATTGTGTAAGAGAGTACGACAAATAAATTTCATTTTTTTTGGATTAATTTTTCAATTTAGAAGAGAATTCTGAGGATGAGTCTTATAATATTATATTGGTTTCAATTTATTTTCATTCTACTGAGAGTGCTTTTGGCAGAAGAGCTTAAAGCCCTATGACTGATTTAAAATTATATTGGTTATAAAGTTTAATTATTCATTTTATTATATTATTATATTAATTAGAATATCCATTGGATAGATTGTAATATATATAATTTTATATTTAAAATCAAGATATGAGAAGCAAAGCACAGGCTCAAGCACCTGTAACTCAAAAGCAATAACCTTAAAAATAAGGAAATGTTCGTAAACCACAGGAGAGGTAATGTATGATGTTTGAGATGTGAAGACCTGGATTGACTGAGGACGAGATTGATGAAATAAGAGAAGCATTCAATTTGTTTGATACAGAAGGGACGGGGAGAGTGGATCCAAGAGAATTGAAAGCAGCTATGCAAAGTTTGGGATTTGATTAAAAAAACCCAACAATATTTAATATGATTGCTGAATTGGAAAACGAAGGGTATGTAGTATGAGGTTAGAGATAGAACTGATATTGATTTTGACTAATTTTTGGATGCTATCACATCAAAATTGGGAAACAGGGAACATAGGGATGGTATAAATAAAATATTTGATTTGTTTGATGATGATGGTAGCAATACGATTAATTTGAATAACTTGAAAAGAGTAATGATTGGAGATTGAAATTGTATTAGGTTTCTAAGGAATTGGGGGAGACGATGACAGCAGAAGAGTTAGCAGAGATGCTGGAACGGGCAGCTTCTAATGGAAGGGAAATCAGTAGAGAAGATTTCTATAATATCATGGTTAAAAGGACATTTTGATAACCATCAGATATATATATATAAATTATAATAATAAATGATTAAATTGGAGGCTCACACCTTCCATCAAAAAAATGTTATGACACCAACTTAATTATCAAATAAATCTCCCATAGATATAGTTAGATAGAAAAAAATCATTTTCAAACGAGAACTGTTAAATACAGAATAGAATTTCCTCGTTCAAGTAAGACCTTATTTTTATAATCATTAGACTGAGGAGCATGAAGAAATTATATACCTAAAACCTGATGTTCCAGATCTCATTTTGACTGATCTTACCAACATGGCCATATAAGAGGATATCTCTGAATATTAGGCCTTAGAGTATCACAATCGAGTAGCAAAACTGTTAGAATTTTATACGCAGAATTAGTAACTCAAATTCTTACCTTAGGATTCAAGTTTAATACACATCAGTTTTATTCTCAAAAATAAATTATGCCATAATACTTAAGAAATACGCAGCTCAAAATGAAGCCTTGGAGATATTATTGGATTGTGATTAGATTCTCAAGACCAAAGGCAAAGCACTCAAAAAGACTTCCCCTGAAAGTTTGAACTTAGCATAAATAATCCAAAACAAACTGTTAAGATTGAGACTAGTCTTTCAAGTCACATTGTTATTTTCTGAAACAAAAAAGTAAAATCTATATTTTAAATCAGAAATAAACAGGCCTTAGAAATGGCCAAAAAGACCTTAAGAATCTTAAAGAGTATTATATAGAATACTATAAAATTGTGTCAATAAATTACTGTAATGTCATTAATGAATAAAAAACAAAGAGCTAATTCAGAGGTTAATTCTGCTTTACAAAAGATTTACACTTCCTAAACCATCAATATAACATCACAACTGTCCCAAGCTTTATCCTATCCCCAAATTGTAGAGATTATTTTCAAAGAAATACTGGTTTCTATTACGAGTATGCTACCCAATGAGGAAAAACCTAATGATGTTATAAATATTCAAAATTTAATGATCCGAAGCTATCAGAATCGGAGTCAATCACTTTTTGCTTCAGAATACGTCTTTCAACCATAAAATAATCCGCAAAATAAACTATTCACATTAATTGATGATAATCATCCTATGTTGCAAATGTAAATTTTAGGATTGATGTAATTAACTTATGTAGATTTAGAGGAGTTATTCCCTATCAATAGTTATGAGATGGTAATGGCTGAAGAAGTCATTTTAGAATTAGTAATATATATCCATCTATTTATTAGATCATGTTGACAGGGTTGAGTTTCTATAGTATCTCCACTGAACTCAGATTCATCAACAATCAATCCAATAAATTAACAGTAGAGATATGGCTTGGCAAAGCTGTCGAGATATTCTACATGTATGTTCCACATTCTAGTGCCATCTTTAATTAGATTTATCAGGTGTATCAAAAATTATATGGAGTAGACAAATAATCTATTGTAATCTATTTGAAACATAATTTAGCCAGAAGATGAGGAAATCGAATATCATACTAAGCTATTGAAGCCACACCCCTATAACAATAAATCAAGTCTCTCCAATAAAGTTGTCATCGTCATCAAAGTCCCTAATTAAAACAAATAATCGTAATCCAAAGATACAGAAACTAAATAATCTTAAAACACTCAAACAACTTTCCAAAAGATTTAACAATAAATATTAGTTAAAAAGCAAATCCTCTTCCCTCAAAAGCATACTTTCACCTAACCGGATTCAGATAAGAAGTTGGATACAATGTAAGATGAAAAGGATAAGTCTCCACAATTGCAACAACAACTATTTGTCAAAAAAACTAATACCTCATTAAATTCGACTGATGTAAAACAAAGAGTAGAATTCTTAATGAATTAAATACTTAATCAATAAGCTAGACTCACTCAAGAGAAACTAAAACAAAAACACTAGCCCATTACCATTCTAAAACAAAAGTATCAGGTAACATCTAAGATCCAGGAAAATGCAAATACTTTCAATCCTCTCATGACTTCATAATTTAAAACCACTGCTACTGTTAGTAGATCTCTATCCAACTCAAGGAAAACTAGTTAAGTTAACTTAAAAAATTAATCCAACGGCGTGAAAACTGCTTAAATGAGATATCGCACTCAAGTAAACTCTGCAGATGAATCATCTAAATAATTTGCTTAACATTTAGCAACTTAATTGGCTAGTATTAATCGCTAAACAACCGTAAATATTTAATTTAGTATTCATAGAAAGGGTTTATGTTAAAAAGAAGTGATTCTGCCAAAAAACCAAAGGTTCCATTTCAATAACATTGAGTTTCTTATTACATTATTTATTACTGAGATTTAATTTACTCATTATTAAAAAGTTAAATTAAATTTATAAATATTTATCGAATTTAATGTAAAACAATTTCATCACACTCGCTCAAATCATCAAGAAAAATATTCCTCTTCAAAAGAATTGTATTGCTGATCATCGGATTAATGCTACGATTTATCTATAAAGCTGAATCTAGGAGAATCTGATTAATTTTAAAAACACAAAAAATTGAAATAATCTGAAATGATTGGTTAATTAAACTTTAACAATAAATATTCATCTTAACTTTATCTACAAATTTAATCATTTTCTTATTATTACAACTTTGATAGCTCATTAATTTTATCAAGATCTGAAATTTATAAACGTTAATCTTTTAGTCTTTCAATAAATAGATCATTTTAATTAGATGATTATTCTTTATGAATTAAGTTTGAACTCTCAAAATACTGAGAGTTGATTTGAAAATTTAAAGGCTGATTTATTACTTCCAGAAACTATTTTTCCATTTACATAAATTCTTCAATTATAATGCCATCTATATTTGAATGCAATAACTCCTTTAAATTGATCAAATTCTGTAAGCAAGTGAAAACTTAACTGATATATGATCGTGTAATTCTAATATTTTGAAGATCATAAAAATTAAAAATATCAAGTAATTGGTTTATACTCCATTGTTAAAATATTTAATTTGTTGATGAACATCTTATTTGGTATACTTATTCTGGGAATTTGCGATTTAATATCTATGATAATTTCATATAAGAAAATTTTTGATTCATATCAAAGTCTTACATTTTTTAATGTGGTATGCATTAGGATTTTAAAATTTCATTTAGCTCTTATATGGGATAGTCGATTGATATTTAGGATAGATATTTTAACGCTAAATCTCTTATTTCTAAGGTTGGATCCAAACCCTCATTCTTACTAATAAAAGATTCTGATATTATATTAAATAACTTAACAACTATGGCTTTCTTGTCTTTATTAAATAGTTTATATTCTTCTAGTACAGATATTAGTTCTTTCTCATCCAAATTAATACAGGGATATCCTAATTACTCAAGTTTTTATTGTATGTATTCATAAGTTAAAATTTTTGATTTTAGGTTTTCCAGAGAGTATTCAGTTAAAAGATAGTTTGAAAGGCCTGCGTTCTTTAATAATTAATCTTATAAGTATGATATTAAATCAATGCTATTCTCATTATCATAAATTTGGGATGAATTTTAACTCTACCTAATTTCATCTTAACTAATACAATTGTCTACCGAGCCACTTAAATACAAGAGAGATGATCTGCCCTTTGATTATTCAATTAATTTTAGTTTCCTCCTTTATTTTTTTGCCTTTAAATTTGAGCCAAATGATCCTTAGATGATGGTAGTTGAAGAAGCTGCAGGTATTGTTTTTTTGAATCTTATCTTTTTATTTTATTCTTCCAAATTTTCATCAATTATTAATTATTAATTTTATTAATCTTCGGCGTCCTAGCGTTTAGTTATTTCAGAAATAAATGAGATGAGAATTTGCTATAATTGGTTGCATAATGTTTAATAACTATTTGTTATGCTATGTACATCAAATAAATGTATGCTTTCAATGTTAATTATTAGACTCATAAAATCATCAAGCTTATCTGTAAAATTTTAGATAAATTACCTTATATTTCTAACAATTTTAAATTCATCTATATTACATAGCAAGTGAAAATCATCTATTAGATTGGAAGTCTACATTTGATTGAATGATTGATGTTTAAGATATTTCAATTCTGTTGGCAATTAAATGCCAAGAGTGTGAAATAAATTTGTGTAAGAAAACATTTTATTTGGAATGGTATCATAATAAGGGTTGTTTGTTCTAAGCGTCACAATAGAATCAATTTCCTCCTGCCATTATTATTCAGTCCACTTGACTTCTAATCCTTGAATATTAAGAAATTACAGAACTCTCTATCTGATGATAAGGCCTCTGTCATCCCAATTATTTATTGAAGTGACTTCCCCAATGAAGCTTATTAAGACTCTAATTTTTTTAAGCTGTTCATTTTCGCTTTAATTGTATATTCCTTATAAATAGGTGTGAATTCTGTCGCTTTCCACCTTTATTGAAGGAAAACCAAATAACAAAATTACTTTTTTCTATAGCAACTTTAAATTACATTAAAACTTTAACTATTCCAATTCTTTGTTTAAATATTCTAGCGACGGTTAATAAAATACAGCAATTTCTTATTACATGAGAAATTAAATAATTAAATTAATTAGTTTCATTTAGATCGCCAAATATTAGAAATTATATAAATAGTTTGTATATTGTTAGTTCGTTAAGTAAAATTGAAACAATCTCTTTACTAATTGAATTATCCATTAGATAATACCAATATTACTCAATCTTGCTGTATTAGAATTTAAACATATTTTGATTTTATAATTTTATTTTTGAATTAAAATCTAAAAGAGTTTTCAAAAAGGAAGGAATGGTGAAAGTCTGTCATATGTTACATTTGAGACTATATTTGGATTAAAACAAAATTTCTCAGGTTTTGGATCAGATTTGCACTGTAATTTAAAGAAGTGAAAGAATAACAGAAAAAAAGATTTTTATTATTTTTATTCAAAATTTATTGGTTATGATATCATTTAGAACAGTTTCACAAGATTTGATCAATAGATTCTTAATAAAGGAACAAAAGAAGAGTCCAAATGAGATATTAAATAATTTGAGAGAAGTAGAGAAAATAATATATAAAAATACCTGCAAAATAGTAAAAGGGATTAGAATCTTTATATTATTGGGATAGAAAGGATATATTGAACAGATTATGAAATATTTTTAATAAAAGAGTATGAAATTGGAAATTTTTAATCATTTGAGTTAGAATTCAGAATCATTAAATCTATGAAAGTAAGTTTGTCTAATTAAATATTAAATCCAAATTGAAAATGGTCTAGGATAATGAAAAATATGTTGAATAATTAATATCATAAAACAATTTGGATACGAATTATAAATAATGAAAATTTATGAAAATTTAAGAGTGATAAGTTAGGTATAATGTAGTTACATGAAAAAGACATAAGATTTAAAGAAGAACTTGTTGCTCTTTGTATAACAAAGATAAATCATTGTGGTGTTATATTGAAAGAACTAAAATTACTGTATTGGGACAGATCAAAAAAAGTTACACAAGGAGGTTGAAAATATAAAAAATTGAGGCCAATATAGGAATTAATGATGTATAGATAATGGAGAATCTTACTTAAAATTGATTATATATACATTCTGGTTTATTAGAAGGATTGATAAGAAATTCATTTTTGATACAATCTAATTTTAAGGTTAATAAAATGAAGTAAATTCTTCAAATTAAAGCGACAAATGGAAAAACAAAGATTTTATCAGAAAATGCTTTTTATCTATAAATACTGAATTTGCACTGGAATTTTGATAAGTTAATTATTTATAGATTTGACGATTAAATAAATCTAAGTTATATGGTGATTACCAAGTTATTAAGATATTTAAGAGTGGAGAGGATGGCCAATCTTAAATATTTTAAGTAGTGAATTTAAAGGATGCAAGGAAATTGGAGACTTTAAGAAAAATAGATAATTTTAAGGAAACATATACAGAATTGAGGTTTACTTAGTTATATTTTATATATTTTATTCGCTTAATGATTTTTACGCCTGCTTCTTAGTAAGAGAAGGCCACATTAGAGAAGATAGGTGAATTTCTTATGGGTTTGAGCAAGAATGTGCTTAAGCAAGGGAGTTCTATTAGTTTACCTAAATTTCTGTAAGACTTAGAACTTACTTCAAATGAACTGTGTTACATGCTTTAAGCTAGAGATTAAAATGATTATAGTCAAGCAATCAATAAATATACTTAAGTTTGGAAGGACGTATTGAAATCGGTTTAGATAAACAATCAGATGCATACAGAAGGAGAGCAGGAACTCGAGCCTCTGTCTAGAGCAGATATTATGTAACGAATGAAAAAGAAATTGATGGAAGGAGGACAAACTGGGAGATTGGGTGGGGCTAGAGTTGGAGGCTTCCAATCACCATTAGCTGAAAATGAGAGAATAAAGAATCGTTAATTAAGTAGCAAAAATTCTAATATCCTGCCATCTATTCGATTGAATTCATTTGAATAACAAACTGATCGGACTCTGAATAATTCATCAAGGGTGCAATACGAACTAGATGATAATCAGAAATGCATCTTAAATGAAGTCTTGAAGCAAAGCAATAAACTAAATGTATAAATTGTGATGAAACGATATGATCCAAAAATAAAGTTATGCATATCTTAAGGAACTGATACTAATCTTGATATCTTGGAGGTTATGAGAAATTTTAAGAAGGTACACCTTATTATGATTATTTTATAGGAATATCACGAAAGTAAATTGTAAGAGATTGTGCAGGATAGTGATAAACATTCTATGGAGCTCTAGAAATTTCTGAATGAAAGGATTGATTATCGATACACTCTGTAGACATAATAGGTTACTGATAAATTAAAGGGAGTGCATAAGTAAATGATTTAGAAGTCTATGGATATCGAAACTGTTATATTGGACACTTAAAAATAATAAATTCAACAAGACATGATACCAGATATCCTAAATGACTTTATAGACTATGTGAATGAGAGTTATTAGAATGTTTAGCATGAAACATATAAAGTCATGATGAAATTCGTTTCTGGATTCTTAGTCAGGAGACTTAAATAAGATTCAGAGAAAAAGTTACCTCAATAAAATTCATAATAATTATTGTCTGGTTCCAATAAAGATCGCAAAGCCCCTCCCATTAGAAGAGCAGATAATTCAGAGTAATTGTAGAAGGAGTTATCAAATAAGAATGTAGAATTGGACAAGAAGTTTATGGAGAACGCAGAGTTGTGGAACAAGGTCAGATTAATGGAAAACTAAATTATGCAAATGAATATCGAAATTGAATCTACTAAAATTGCTGAAAAGGCTATAGAGTAAGAACGAACTCAATTATTGTATGAAAAATAAAAATTAGAAAAGCAATTGTCTGTTATAACTAGTAAGACATTTCAAGATCAGGCAGTTCAAGTGTCAGATCAATCATTGCAATAATAAATATCGAAATTACAAAAAGAGAATTAAGAACTGTAATAAAGACTCTATCAATTAACAGGAGAGTTAAATAAGAAGAAATCAATACCAGCAGATTAGAGAAGTTTATAAATGGACATTGCCAATAGTTAGGATCAATCAAACAAGGATTCTCCAAAGGGGACTGGAAAAATTAAATCTCAATTTGATTTTGCACCAGATGAAGATAATGTCTCAATCGGATATCGTGGAGAATCAAATAGATAGATTTAGTTTAGTGACTACTCAAAGAGAAAAAGCACTGATGTAGGTTATAGAATGAGTTTCACTTAACATATTTAATCTTAGAAAGAATAAAAGGTCTCCAAAAATAATAGTCAAACATCAGATACACAATAAAAAAAAAGAGCTAATCAACATTCATTCACTGAATTTCATCCATCCAAATAACCCAATAAATAAACTACCATTGATTAAAAGTCAATATAAGAATTAGATGAAGAGCAAATGCAAAAAAGTGGTTTACTCTTGCAACAACAACAATAGCAATAAGTCAGAAAGAGTGTATCTCCTAATAATGAGAATGCATAAATAATACGAAAGATGAGTTCTATGTCGAAATCTGATTAACAATTACCCTCCTCCATAGTTAGAAAATCTACTGTCAATTAAATGAAGATGGGGGACTCAAGCATTCCAGACATTGATTTGACTTAAGCTTAAACTAATCAAGATACATAAAGAACCTCTTCTGGTAGAATGCTGACTTTGACTGAAAGAAAAAACGATACAAGCCCTTCTGATAGAAGAATCCAAACGGAATATACTGATTAATCGTAATTTCAATAACCTTAAATGCAATAAAGCCAGCAAATTTCAAATACTCCATAATAAAATAAACAATTCAAAGGATATAAAAAGTCTGAAACCTTTTTGGCTAATAAACCAAAAAACAAATATGCCAGAAAATCAACAGATGCCCTAAGAGAAATCCAAGAGGACTAATAATTTGGACCACCTTCAAATAGAGGCTCAACTAGATTAATAGAAAGTAATAAAACAAGAATACCTCTGATTAAGGAAGAAGATGAAGTCAGTAGGAATTCCAAATCTCGTCTGTCTTCACAATAGTCATCATAATCTCATATAAGAAGGGCTAGCACTACCATTTAATAACCTATAAAGATGGCAATAAAAGTTAATGATGAAAACCCTTCTGAATATATAGCTTAGTGGAAACAAAGAACTACCGAACAGGAGTAATAAACAGATATTGAATTGCTAACAAATCTATTAGAGACCTTGATTTCTAATTTAGGATTGCCCTAGGATATTTAATAGAAGATAATGGAGACAATGCCAGCAATAATTTCATTAAAAAATCTGAATTAATTGTCTGAAATTTAAAATAACCTAATGAAGAAACAATAATCCTTTAAAAATGTAGTTTAAAAATACGGTTTTGATACTGAAAGAGTAAGTTCAAATTAAACTAAAAATCATAGTGCTAAATAATCTTAAGAATCACTCCTAAAACATGAATCAGAGGAGGAACAAATTTAGATGGGTTCCAAACTAGGATCTCAGTAGCAAGTGGACACTTAAAGAATTTAAAATTCGAAAACAAAATCAACTAGATTTTTATAAGAAAAGTAGAAAAAGGATTCAACTGTCTAAAGATAACCCTCAAGGTAACCAATAGATCCTTAGGAATAATTTGATTAGGAGGAAGCCAAATAGATTTTTAATATGGCTGCTGAATTGAATATAGAGTAAGTGGATTAGATGCCATATGAAGAGGTTGTGAAATAAATATAGAACTAAGAAAACGATGGCAAACAATTACAGTAAATCAAACCCAATGAATTGAAAGGAGAAACCTTCTTACGAACTTTATTTAATCAAATTTAAAACAAAAAAACCAAAGGAGTTGAAAATGTGCAAGAATTACTCAGAAAGTACTACAAAAAAGGAAAGCACGAAAACATAACTTATTATGAATTCAAAGCCTTCTATTAAAGATTAGCTGCAATCCATAAAACATGTGGATAAGATTAGATGTGTAGTCATCTCCAAAGATTTATTATGCGATTAGGATATACATGCTCAATATTTTCCAAAAGACAAGTATTTAGTTTATGATAAATATTAGCTATTAAAAACTAACACCTCAGTACTAAAACCATTCAATACAAGTGAAGATATGACAACATAATCCAAATTGACTAATACTCATTAAAATTTAGCTTAGAGCAGATTCACTAGTCAATAATTTTATATGTCTGAAGAATAGTTTTATTGATATTATTATTAAGTAATAACCAATTTCTGTTGAAATTTGTTATAGATATTGAGATCAAAGAATATAAATAATTATATTCCATTTTGATATATCTATACTAATTTAGTTGAATCACCATTCAAAAACACATTTTTCTGGACTGATTGTATTACCTGGTTTGCATTAATTAAACACAGGACATGTCTATAATAATTATATTTATTATCTACTTAACAAGGTAAATAAGATAAATAAAATTAGAATTTTTGCTATCTAAAAGGATTTAATTTGAAGAAAGAATTTTCTTCTTCAATGAGTATTGAATCATACTTTAAAAGGTTGACTATTCGATCAAAATCCATTTCATCATAATGCTCTGACTATTAAGCTTTATAAACACGACGTATTTCATCCAAAGATGCTCTGCCATCGCATTATTGTTGCATAAAATAAATTAGCTTTTGTTTTATTCTTTCAATCAATTCATCATCTACACCCTAATCAGCTTGTCTAAAAACATTAGTGGGTAAACTGGAATCAAGAGTTTGATTAAAATCTATCCAAAGTTTAACTCCTGTTGTTCTGCCATTTGGACGGACTGATTTGATCTTGTCTCTATTTTCCAATGTTTTAATGATCTTCTCAACTTCCTTAGTATTGAGCCCAGCATTTTTAGCAAGGTTTGCTTTAGTTATACCTGATTTCTTTGAGTTTACTACTAAATTGTATATTTTTTGTTATTCCTCATTTAATTAAATTTCCATTTTAAAAAAATTAATGAACTCTTAGAAGTTATACTCAACATCTAATGCATTCTAGTAAGAAGAATAGATTTATAATTACTTATATTGACGAATTAAATATGTATTAATATTTAGTTGTTGCTTTTATTTTAAATTATTAATTAACTGAAATGAGTAAAGTGATTGAAAATTATGTTCTTCAAGATGTAATAGGAAGTGGTCAATACGGCAAAGTATATAGGGCTAAAAATATGAAAAATGATCAAATTGTTGCTATCAAAGTGGTCAAATTGGAAAAGTTCAGAGAAGTCCCTAAATTACATGAATTTACAATTAATGAGATACAGACTCTGTCAAAAATAGATAATCAAAATATAGTTAAATTTATTGAAATGCTCAAAACTTAAAACAATATGTACTTGATTTATGACTTTTGTAATGGTGATACATTGGAAGCATTATTGTAAAAGAGAAAATTTCTAACAGAACCAGAAACTATGAAAATATTCGCTCAGATTCTCAACGCATTCAGGTAAATTAGTAATTTTACATATTATAAGATCTTTGATACGTGAAAATATACTTCATAGAGATTTAAAGCCATCCAACATTCTTTTTCATGATCAAATCGTTAAGGTAGCAGATTTTGGCTTTTGCAAAAGTTTGCTTCACAACAACGATCTAACCTAAACTATGGTAGGTTCACCAATCTATATGGCTCCAGAAGTATTAAAAGGGTGTTCTTATAATTGTAAAGCCGATGTTTGGTCCTTGGGAGTAGTCCTCTATGAGTGTTTATTTGGATTTTGCCCTTTTGAAGATAAATCAATAGCTCGTTTAATAATGCAAATTGACAACAAAGAAATCACATTCCCAAAACATGTAAATCAACTCTCAAGAAAATGTGAAGAACTTATACGCACAATGTTACAAGTAGATCCTCGTAAAAGAGTAGACTGGCAATAATTAATGCAAATCACATTTTATGAAGAACCAAATGTGACCAAATAAATCACATGTAGTTCCAATACTAATGCAATATAGAACCTGCCTCAAATGCTGAAAAAATAAGCCTCTACAAATCAAGTACTATAAGATAGAACCAACATAATCAATAATTAACCATAGCAATAATAACAACAAGACTTTTAGAACTTAAGAGTGCTCTTAAGGGAGAGAAGCAAAATTATATTCTTAGCCTAAATGGTATCATTTCTTCTAGAATAAAATACAGTTTCTGCTGTCTAACTTCACGGCAGTTTGTCATTCTCATAAAAAACAGCTATTATAGCTTACTTTCTTATGAAATTAGCATAAAATTAAACGGAAGTAATTAAAAAACAACTTGATTAAGATCACAGAAGGGAAAGCAGATGGGAAGAATTCTAAGGTAGCAATGAATATAAATAATTCAATTCTACTTTTCAAAGGGAAAGCGAATAATTATTGATGAATATTGAGTCATTTAAAAATGAAGCATAAAAAGTCATTAGACATATGCAACAAAATGATTTAACTACTCAAATTAGAAATGAATTGATGTCTCCATAATTTACAAATTTGAAATTATATACTTCTCTATTAATTAGTTATATTGAAGAAAGTAGAGAAAGATAAGTAAATTTAACTGAAGACTTATAATAAAAGCTGTTAATTGGCCTAATTGATTTGTTAGAGACTAGTTAACTCAATGATTTTTTCGATAAAAATTTAAGCGATGTCAACATTAGATTTAATGATTAGAGATATTTTGAATAAGTATTTTTAATAATTTATCAACTAGATGAGAAAAATGCCCAAAGAAACTCTAACAGACATCCTCAATTAAAGATTAGTTAATGCAAAGATCAAGTGTGCTAAATGAAATGTTTTATAATTGAAATATAATCAATTTTATTTTTTCTAAAAGTATGAATGATTGGAAGCTTAATGCACATCCAAACGATCTATTTGATTATAGGCAAGACAAGCTCTAATGAATTCCTTGCATTCATTAGAAATTAGAGGCTTTTAAGGAAAAGTAACTGATTGAGATTTTACAATAATCTACTATTTAAATAAAATTTACTTATTCTTTTAATATTTTTTCTTAGCTGATACCTTAGCCAAATGGCTTTTAACCGAACAGCATCTCAAAAAATATTACTCCAATACTCCAAATATCCACTTTGCTAGATATATTTGGTGGTTAGTCACCCATGTGAAAACATTCAGGAGGCAAATACCAATACGTTCCTACACCTTGAGAAGTCAGCTATAATTTTGAATTGTCATCTTCTAAGACCTTGCATAATCCAAAATCTGAAATTTTCAATTCGTTTAGATGAAACAAAATATTTTATGGTTTTAAATCATAGTGAATTATCTTATTCTTATGATTATTTAAGTATTTGATGGCTGAAATTATTTATCCAATCAACAATTTTGCTTCCTTCTCTGGAAAACATTTATACTTTTTAATATAATAAGCGAGATCTGGACCGTCACACAATTCTAAAACTGTACAAAACGAAGATTTATCAATCTCAACTGAATCATATAACTTTACTATATGAGTATGGTTTAATTCCTTATGCACTCTGTTTTCACGAATTGCATGTCTTATGTAGTTTTGTTTTGCATGATCTGACCAATTCGAGTTGAGTTGATGAATTTTACATGCTACTTCTCTTAATTCTTGAAGATCGTAAGCCTAATTTTTTATAACTATTTACTTTATAAACCTCACTGAATCCACCTTTTCCTAATAGACTCAAAACTTAATATCTTTCACCAATTAATGGATAGTCATTATTTTTTGTAAATCTTGCATGTTCCTCCTCATAAACTCGTTTTATTTGTTTTATATGTAAATTCTTTTCTGTTTCTAATCTGTCGACTGTTTCTTATAATTATAATTCCTCTTTAACCAAAAAATTTATCTTTACATTCAAGGTTCTCATCTCTTATTCTTCCTTATTTTTACAGTTTTTTTTTCTATTTTCGTAATCTACTTTCAAATTTTCTATTTTTTTTGATTATTCTTTTGCTTCCCTTAATTCCTGTCCATCAATCCAAACGTCGACCAAAGCGGTTTTCTCTCTCTAAACTACATACTCACCTAGTCTAACACGATTTGCTTATAATTAGGTTTATAATTATAGTTTTTTAAGTTTTTCATTCTCCATAGCGAATTATTTAACAACATCTTACATTTTTAATTGCTATTCTGTTAATGACTAAAATTATTTTAATACATACCGATATTGTTTCACGAAGTTCAGAATTATGAGTTTCTAGTTCTTTAATTTTTATTTCAGAAATTGCTAATTAGTTTTATTTTTCTTTAAGTTATTTATCCACTGTTGGATCGTAGGGTAATGGACTTTTATTTTTAAATGGAGAATCCTATATTGAATATTCAATCAATTTTTATTCAGACTTCTTCACTTTTTATTACTTTTTTTAAAACTGCAAATATTAAGTGATCTATGAATTTTTTCAAATCAAAATACATCTTTTTATTATCCCTCTTTACTTTTTTTGTTTTTTTTTTACTATGAATGCTTCTTTGTAATTATGCATTTCTTTTAAACAGGACTCATATTTTGGGATGGAAATAAATGTTATGGGGAATTTTCGCTGTTTAAAGAGCATTTTAAGTCATCAGATTTTTTATTAGAATCTACATTCTGTTTATTACGATCATTTTCATCTGTTTGCCTTTCGCTCTCCATCTATAAGAATTGCTCTTATATGATTTCCTCTTTTGATTTCCTATGAATTCTAGCTTCTAGACAAATAAGTCTATCTAGTTATTCTGGCGGCAATTATTAATGCATTATAATTAATTAATTTATAAATTTTGAGCACAAAACTTATAAATAAGGTGCATTTATTATTAATTGCAATATAGAGCCTTTTGAACATTAGGTAAAAGGTGTATTTGTTAAGATGGAAAAATTTGATTGGTATTTGTTTTCTGGATAAATAATTTTATTATCCGAAATTCAATTCAAGTAATTTTTGATGCCTCAAACATTTCACTAAATTAAATCTTTTAACAATGTATGTTTTGATTTAAATTAAATTAATACAATTTTTTTTATTTTTATAATTCTCCTTCAAGAAATTATGCAATAATCAATATAAGTTTAATTGATAATAACTTAATATATAATGTTGAAGTGAATTCTATTCTTGTAAATTTAAATTAAACTCATTTTCAAAGGGAAAAAAATAGTTGTTCAAAAGATAATTTTAAACTATTTGGAGTTTTCACATTCATTCTTTTTATTTCAAAAGAAAAATGCGCATACATTTATAAATTTAATTAATATCATAATATGTAAACAATAATAAAGGTTAATACATTAGAAAATAAGTAGAATATTAATAATTTGAAAAAATCTTGCATTTATAAGTCTATGATTAACTGTTAATTTAATCTTAAAAATACAATCAAGTTTGGATTTAGAATAATAAAAAATAAAAATTCTTAAAATTTGAAGAAATAATATTTTATTTTAATAAAATAGGATATTAATTACAATTTAAATGTGTGTTTTACTATATTATATGGATATTTTAATGATTCTGGTCTAAATGTGGATCAAAAGACATTTGATTTTAACTTCTTAAATATTTATCTAAAAGACTCAATAAGGTTTAACAATACTATTTATAATTTAATTATAAGTGAGAAGTAGAATTTTATTAATTAATAATATTAATATAATTTAGGTATATATGCATAAATCCATATTCTTTCGATCATAAATAATTTATATTATATTGAATCTAATTGAATAGTTGCTATTTTTTTGATACTTATTCCATGTCGATTGAATACATTAATCAGAATTTACCTTCATTATTGTAAAGAGTTTCTTTGAGAAATCAGCTGCTCAATACCTATTCATGTGTACTGCTTTGTGTTGATATTAAATTTTATTCTAGATTATTCTTATTTGAATAGTATGAGTCATTTATTTAAATCTTTGATGAGTTTATCCAAAAATTAATATTTTATTTAAATATGAAAAGAATATAAATCCTTTTGCCTTCATTTGCCATGTATGCTCTCTTTTGATTATTTCTAGACTTATAGGAATTGTAACCCTTATGACTAGAAGAAAGTCGGATGCATTACAAAAATTCCTAGGTTATGCGGCCATTTTAATAGGAATAGGGTAATTATTCAAATTTATTTGTTTTAGTATATTCATGTATAGCTCAAAAGCAATTTTGTTATCAATGGTATATTGTTTCATAATCCAAATAGTATCAAAAATTTATTCAAGATGAAGTTAACATCTAACTCCAGTAGCCCAAGAAGCTGAACCAAAAGTAATAATAAAAAAAAAAATCATAATACAAAAGTGATTAATAATAGAAATCTCAACAACAATAAAAGCAATAACTTAGATAATCTGAATAAAATTAATAAATCGAACAAGATTCACCTGAATCATCAGAAGAGGAAGCCTAAGAAGATGAGTAAAAATAAATTGAATTACAAAAATAAGCAGAATTAGACAAGCAAAAATTACTACAAGCTGAATAAAGTGCAAAATAAACAAAGCAAAAAAAACCAGAAGTCGATAAATAAAAATCATCAACTTAAAAAGAAGATTCATAAATCTAAAAACAACAATAATAACCTATACAACAAAAGGCTCCAACTTAAAAAGAAAAGATTGTAAATATTATTTTATATTTAGAATCCTTAAACCCAATAAGAGAAAAAATAGAAATAAAAATAGGAAAAATAAAAATTTAGAGTAGAGATTGAAGAAGATGAAAATGATGAAGAATGGGTAGAAGTTGGTAACAAAAAAAAGCTTCCCCCATAATAATCACAAAAAACATAATAATAATAATAAGAAAGAAACTAGTAACAAGGAATTAAATAAACATAAGGTAGTTGTTTTTGTAATCTTAGAATTAAAATAAGAGGATACAAAGTAGCAAGTGATCAAAGGTTAACCACAAATTCAACCTTAGAAATAGCAATAATAGTAATAAAACATCCCTTAAAAACCATAATAACCACAATAACCATAATAACCCATAGTAAACTCTTCCTAAAAGGTTTAGTAACCAAAATAATAATAACAAACATAACCAATTGTCTAAACACAGTAAAAACCAAATAACTAAGTCTAAGATTAGTCAAAATAAAAACAGAATGAGAATGATAAAAATTAAACTAAATAATAAAAAAAGCAATTAAAAAAAATTGTTGATGACTAAATTGATGAAGAGGAGGGGTGGATATCTGTCGAACCAAAATCAATTAAGAATATGTAATTATTATATTTTATATTGCAGAAACAAAGAATAAGATTCATCCAAATAAGAAGCAGAAGAAGTTAAATAGACAAAAAAAAAAGGATTATTCACGAAAGAAGAATACTAATAGTTAAAAGAAGATGCTAAAAAGATTGAGGAAGCATATAAATTGAGAATTCAATAAATAGAAGATATCCATAGAGCAAAGGTCATTTCTAAACATACTTAATATGAAGTCAAAAATGCTGATTAATTGTTCAAAACATAGTATGTTGCTGCTCCCCCAAAAATTGAATATAAAATGCCTGAAGTTTAGCCAAAGTTTATGACTAGAGAAGAAATAGATCAATTAATCTAAGCCAAAATGCCAAAAACTAGAGTAACTGGTTCTAATGAGGTTTTTGTAGAAAAGTCAGAACCACTCCCACAATAAGTTGTTAAATCATCAGAAACTAAAAAAATTTAATTCAAATCCAAAATTAATTTCCTTAAACCAATCTAACAAGAGAAGAACGAGTAGAAACTATTTACTGACCCTCCTATTACTTTTGAAACAAATAAAGACACTTCAAAATCATTCTTCACAACTTAGGTAGTTCTAACTGTTAATACAACTGGAAAAGATGTTTTTGGAAGGGTCAAGAAATTTAGAAGGCCTATATAAGAAAAAAAACAACCTGAGCAAAAATAAAAGGAAATTTATCAAGTAAAGGCAAATGAATTGAATTAAAAACCAAAAGACCAAGATGAAAATTAATAAACAGGGTCAAATTAAGAATGAGATAGTGAAAAGGAGCCTACAACTTCCATATTGTTAAATAAATCTGAAGCTTAAGATTAAAAGCACGAAAGTGCAAATACAAAAAAACCATAAGTGAGGTTTGAAGAAAAACCTATATTTGAACCAAAAGTCCAAAAGCCAAAAGAATAAGATCCATAGGATCTCTAAACTACCACTTAAAATCAAAATACCCAAGATTAAAAGTAAAAGTCAAATTAAAAATAAAAGTAACCTTAAAAAAATTAATAACCATAACAAAGGGATTTATATGAAGTTAAGCAACCTCAACAGGTTTAAAAAGTGGTTTAGAAAAAACCAGCTAAGTAATCTTCAAATGAGCTTTATGTACCAAAAGCGAAAGAAACAGATGAGATAATAATAAAAAATTAAAATAATGAAATAAAACAAGACGATAATTTGAATTAAAATAATTAAATCAAACATATTGAATAAGAACCATTAAAAATATAAGAATAATAAGAAATAAATATTCTAAAAGAAATAGATATTGAGAGCGAGTTGAACCTTTAGAGTGGAAACCAAGAAATATAAATTGAACTATAATAAGGAAATTTAGAATAAAATATTCTAAATGAAGTTGAATAGATTGTTTAAACTGGTTCAAATTAACCTTAATTCGTAGAAGAAGAAGAAGTATTTGTAAGTAAGGATAAGCCTGTTGAAAATCAACAAAATACTTAATAATAATCAGGAAGTATTGTTGAATAGATCGTTTAAACTGGTTCAAATTAACCTTAATTCGTAGAAGAAGAAGAAGTATTTGTAAGTAAGGATAAGCCAGTTGAAAATCAACAAAATACTTAATAATAATCAGTTAATATCGTTGAATAGGTTATTTAAACTGGCTCAAATTAACCATAGTTTGTCGAAGAAGAAGAAGTATTTGTCAGTAAGGATAAGCCAGTTGAAAATCGACAAAATTCTTAATAATAATCAGAGAATTTCGTTGAATAAGTTGTTTAAACCGGATCAAATTAACCATAGTTTGTAGAGGAAGAAGAAGTATTTGTCAGTAAGGATAAACCAGTTGAAAATAAAGAAAATACTTAATAATAATCAGAAAATATTGTTGAATAAGTTGTTTAAACCGGATCAAATTAACCATAGTTTGTAGAGGAAGAAGAAGTATTTGTAAGTAAAGATAAACCAATAGAAAATATCTAAACTAATACTGAATCTAAAAAATCTGTTCAACTTTAATAAGGGGTATAATAATAAGAAATCGATAATGAAGTTGAAATTATATAGAAAGGAGAATTGCTTTAAGTTCAAAATGATAGTACAGAATTCATACCTGCCTAATAGTTATCGTCTCAACAATAAAAACAAGATTTTAATTAGAAAATTCTTTCAAAATTAGATGCTCCTAGTCCAATCGATAGAGAATAAAAAATAACATCCATGTCAAATATTATGCAAAATGAATTTTCTTAAGATATAAGAGAAGATTCTTCTTTTCTTGCTGAAATGGATTAAAAATAAAGAGTTTTACCTGGATATTTAGACTTAACCTTTAATAGCAGAAAGAAATTAATAAATAAGAATATACCTGTTACTTATAGAACAGAACCAGGATACGAAAACATTTTAGAATTAGAAACTATGAGTTTAATTTTGGATGGATGCAAAGAAATAATTGCTGATGAATACGTAAATTATTTAGAAAATGTAAGAAGAATTAGAAGAAGTGCATTAAACTAAAAAAGATTCTCTGATTACATTAAATATGTTATTCAAATGGCTGAGGAATAATTTAGGATAATCTAAGAAGGTTTTAATTGTATTGCATAGAGTTTGAATATTAATGAAGAAGCATTTTAAAATTCTTTTGTATTTTACTCACAACATGAAGAATTTGGAAAAGAATTCGTAGAATAATTAACTTTTGTTCAATAAAATATGAAAGACATCCCTTAAATTAAAGTCTCTTTAAGAAAACAATAAGGAATCGAACTTATGAAATATTAAATAGATGTCATAGAATCTTATACAAAGCATGAATACTTTGGTTAAATTTTAGATCTTTTCAATGTAATTTTTTATAATTAATCATTAGGATATGGAAGATGTTTAAGATGCTAAACCAATTCTATTAAATACATTGATTGATGATGTAATTTTTGAAAAATATGGATATGAGGAAGAGGATAAAATTAATTTTATGAGTAAAAATTATAATTATTATGTAGAAAAATTTCATAACGATAAAGAAGTTAAGAGTCTGCAAGCTAAATAAGAGAATTTAGTTGAAAATTTATTCAATATTTAATTGGAATGACTTATTTTTACATATACAATAAATGAGCATTTTCATTTTACTGTTTTAGTCTTATACCCTTAAGAATATCCTACGATGTTATTATTAAAGAAAATTCAAGCCAATTTAGTTGCTATCAAATAATTAAATTTATTTCATCATTCTAAATTTTAGACCAAAAAATCCACTGCCATTTCAAGAATATTTATGTTATTTGCTTTAAATTTTCAATGTAATAAAATTTCTAATATTAAAAATAAATTCTGTGTATCCTCAATCATTTCTAGTTTTTATTCTAATCTTAGCATGATTTCAATAATAATAAACAAGTTTAAATTAAAATAAATGATGATGTAAAAAATATAACTTTTTATTAAAAACTTAAAAGCATGATAGAAAATAATGAAATTTTAAAGGATTAATCATATTGCATATTTCTATAGGATAAAATTTTCCAGTATTTTTTATTTACAATATAAGAAAATAATTAAGATTTAGAAATCAATGTTAATTATACAAAGTTAATCTCTGAAGTAAATAATAATTCAGCTACTATAAATACTAGTATAATGATATGAATATTTCATATGTAACTTTAAACCTCTGATAATTGTTATGAATTTCAATTTTTGTGTGTAAATAACCCTGTAAAAAATGTGTAAAATTTGCAATTAATTTTTGATCAAAATTCAAAATTTTTTTTATATTTTCACATATTTTCAATTCAAAATTTATTAAACTTCTAATTTAAATAATTCATTAATCTAACTTCTGAGTTTGAAAGTTCAAAATTACAAAAGTTTAATATTCTTTCCATAAATCAGTTAGGAAACTTTGAAGAAAATTAATTTTAGAATTATGTTCGTTCTTATTTTCTTTTAGAATTGAAAGCAGCAAAGAAAAAAGCTATTTAATATTATTTTTTCATTATATTTGCATTTAAAATCAAAATCCTTTATACTAAGGATGCTCTGACTTTGCTAGAAATGTAAAATATATTCTTAAAGATATAACATACAGAAAGTTTAAGTAATAGCTATCGTTATTTGATTGGAGCTAGTATAAAAAAAGTGAATAGATTGTTGAAATTTTATGTCATTCATTTGTGATTTTCTTTAAGTTGGCATATTAATAAAGAATAAATTTGGCGCAATAGAAATCTATTAGAAAAAAAGAAAATATTGATGTATATTAATTAAAGTATTTTTAACGAATATTAATTAAAATTAATGATCCCAGGAGGAGCAATATCACAGTGTTTGCTTGAAATAAAGGAAAATTGTCCACCTTTGCAACACGTGAACTACAGCAATAAAAAATCATTTAGACATTGTTTAGATTCAATCACTTAAAAGATTCCAATAGTAAAATCAATTCATAAACTACGTTTGGATTAGGAATAGAAAATATACTAGAATATTCATAAAGTTAAGAAATTGAATTTAATGCATGAAATACATTAAGTTAATCCTAAATTGCATAATGAATTAAAAAAAATTTAGTATGATCAACTGACCCTTAAATATGGTATTAAATAATAAATATAAAAGCTGAATACAAACAATAGCAAGAGTAATACACTGATACATTGTCTGATACTCAGGATAGTTATATTAAGTATTAACAATAGTTAGAAAATCACGGATCAGGAATGAAAATATTTCAACACAGACCTCTCATTCGTAATATAATGGAAGAATATGATTAAGAAGACAGCATCTACAGTGATTCATATATCAATAAATATTTGGATCTTAATTGAGTATTATATAATTAATTGACCTAATAATTATAATGCGAGCAAAGTTTCACACCCTGTCTATGCCTTTAAAAACAAGCATTTTGAAATCTGATCATTCAGAAGAATAAAGAAATAAGAAGTAGGGCAATAACTCAAATTATTCTTAATTACGACTAGATGATTTAATAATTGACAAACCTTCGGAATATAGAATTAAGACAAGTTCAGGCATCAAAATGCAATAAGTTTTACTTAACAAACGGCGTTTAGCCGAACCTACAAACATAGAATGGATGTATAATTACAAATCTAAAACAAAATTGCATAAATAATCTAAAATGTGTGAATATCTAAAGTCAGTTATCGAAGAAAATAAATTAAAACCTACTATTGGATAATTCCATTAAGTAAAAATACAAAATTTGACACAAAGCGACATTATTAAGGAAAAGCATAATATTAGGAAAAAAATATTTTAAAATCCTAGAAGAATAAGCTCCAAAATTTAATGATTGTGCGTTTATCTTTATGTGAAAAATTAATCTCAAATACAAAATATTATTAGCTAAATTGTATCTTAAGACCAAATTACAATTGCTTAAACAGTAATTTAAATATTTCTGAGTATAAATTTTCATCATCAGATAACAATATATTCCTAAAACTAGAGCTATCATTGAAATAAGAATAACTACGAATTAATACTATAAGATATACAATTAATATTATAAATCATACATTATATTGAATTAAGTTTATTTCTTCAGTTAGTATTGCATAATCATACGATTTTTGATCGACATTCATTGTTACTTTATCTATTTACTGCTTTAAGTGTTGAATTTCTTAATCTATTTGTTATTTTTCTAATTGATCCCCCTTTAACTCTCTAATCTAAATATTTAGATCAACTATTTTTTAAAGGTCTTCTTTTAGTTAATTTTTAAGCTAAACATTTTCGTCAAATAAGCTTTTGTATGTTTTCAATTTCGATTTAATTTGATTTTTAAATTCATCTGTCTTGGATTCAATTAAACTTTTTTGCTGCTGTAAGCTGTTATATTGACTGAACAAAATTTGATTCTCACATTAAATTTTCATTATTTATTCATTTTAACCTCGATATTTTTGCAATAATTATTACACAGCATAAACAATTGAATCACAGTCTTGCTAGACATCAAGTAGTAATGATAATTCTTTAACCATTTATTTATATTATGCAAATTAAATTTCTTCAATTTATTTAGAACTTTACCTTGGAGTAATGCTATTTTTTTAAAATTCCATAATCGGTTAAGGAGGATCCATTCTATGATCTGGACTATTTTGAAATTCTTCGCTTTCATCTAGAATGCTGTTCTGCATCACTTATTTATAATCCTCTAATATTTTTTAATGCTTTATGCTTGAAGCACTACTTTTGCTTAGATTGCTACTAGTAGGTTATAATATCTATTATTAAGGTTGTTGTTATTGTTGTTGTTATTATTATTGTTATTGTTATTGGAATTGTTGTTGTTGAAGCACAACTGGTTAAGGTTAAGGTTGAGGAGGCAATTTCTTGTGCTAAGGAGAACGAGAAGGTTAATTTTTGTTAGGTTAAGGGCTTCCATAGCGTTTCTTGTTAATTATAGGTTCTGACTTATTTACCGACATCATATGATAATTATCGATCCTATTATTCATTGTTGGTATTTATTTTGAAGAATTGCGTACTTCAGCAGTGCATCGTAATACCAAATTCATTATGTTGCCATGTTCAAGCTCTATTTTATGAGAAACTTCTCTTCCTTAAACATCATTGATAAGCAATTTTGAACTGCCCAAAAGTTTAATATACCCTTATTCATCAGGAGTTTCAATATAAAATTACAGCTAACAATGAATTATGCTTTAATTTTACAAATTTCGTGTTTTGGGTGTCAAATCCATATTAATGAGGCTAAGAATATTTGATTATTTTTTGAGTTGATGAAAACTATTAATACAATATTTCCTTCCTTTCACCTAATAATAGTTAAGAATTGTACCGCATTTAATCCCAATATTGATTTAGCAATTGCCCAATGCTTGTTTTAAACTGATTTATGAAATTGATATTTCAATCATGTAATAGTTTTTAACTAATATAAATTATTTATTATAGAATATTTTAACTGAAAGATATTTAATATACTTATTAAGATCTATATAAACTAAATTCAGATGATTAAAATAATTAATGAATAATTTTGTTTTCAGCAATTAAATGAGGTTTATAATATTATATTTAATAAACTATTTAGACCTTAACCTAATATATAAATTTAGAATGAAATGGCAACAATATCGATTGATCCAGCCACTAGATTATCCTAACTTTTAATACTTTTAACGTTTACAAATGCATATATTTTAATTTACACTACTTATTTGATGTTGGATTATGAGCTAATAATATTGATAGTGTTCTATTGGATTATCGATATAATTGTCATTCTGACTCTGTCAATTTTGAAAATCAAGTTATTATTGATGTAATGTTTTAGGTATAAAATTACAGTGGGGAATCTATTGATTGATACTTTTTTAGCAGCTATTTTCAAGACTACAATCCTAATCAACTTCACCTACTCTGAACTGGACATCCAATATTTTAGCTATGTCATCATGGCATATTACTTCATTAGATCTGTCATTATTAATATTAGAAAAATTGCAACAAATTAGTCCATCACTTAATACTCCTTCGTATCATATACATTAAAATATAGCTTATTTAAGGTGTAAAAATACTGCTTGTACTTTAGTTAATGCTAATAACAATGAGATGGAAGTGCACAATTTATTGGAGTTGGTATACAACATTTAGTATTGCTTGGGGTTTGTTAGTTATATGCTTTATTGTGCACTTTGTTTTTCTTCTCTCTATAGGTGAAACCTTAATTGATTACTACAAAAAGAAGACAACCAAAACATAATTAGTAGGAGGAATTTGGCTAACATTTTATTTATGCGGATTTAGTGGAATTCCAATGTGGTTTTGTTATATTGTATGCCAAAATTAGGAAGTAAAGCATTTCCAAACAACTGATTAAGCTACATTATTATGCATCTTAATAGTTTCTTATAATCTTTCACTTTATGTAGTTACTGCTATTTGTAAAGTGTAACTTATGTAAGAAAATTCATTATATTTTTAGATAATTCATTAAGGATATGGGATTTGATATTGAGATACAATAAGAACCAGTTGGGCAAGAAGAAAAATTACCTTATCACTTTCTTAAAATTTCCTTACCGTAAAAACTAATTCAAATATCTTCAACATATTTCGATTTTGCCTAAGAGTCTAACAAATAGTAGAAATAATTATAGCACATATCCAATAGCAATTTCAGTGTTATAAATCAAAAGGCTAGACTCAAGGCTTTTGAATTCATGGCTAAGACTGAATAAATTAATTCTCCAGTTGAGAGAGAATCTGGACTTGTCAAAGGTGAAGAAAAGTGTCAGATTTGTTTTGAAAATGAGCCTCAAATTGTGATGCTTCCTTGTTAACATGGCGGAATCTGTGATGATTGCCTTGAAAAATGTTTAAAGAAATCTCCAAATTGCTATCTATGTAGAAAGGTATCTAACTAATCATTATTAAGAAAATTCAAAAATTGCTTCGAGTTTCTAAGGAGGCTTCTGGAAAATTTGCAATAAATGACATTGCATTATGTGATGCATGAATAAATACTCTATTAAATTGTGCGTTATTTTATAATTTAAAATTAAATGAGTTTTAAAAAGCAATTATTACCATTAAAATATCCTTCAAGCTTTAAAAAATGATAAAGCTGAAAAGATATTAATTAAAACCTATTTGATTTCATAACCAAATAATCTAATCTTAAGGAACTTAAAAGTTAAGGCAATTATATTTAATTTGATTAATAAATTGAGAATTCAGTTTAGAAATTAATTGTAAATATTTGAGTATATTACTTGATTTCTTCTGTACTTATTGATTGTTTAATCATCTCATTTTTTATATGAAGTAGTTCATAAATGAATAAATAATAGGGTTGTACCCTATATCTTTTTTTTTATAATGGCGATATATGAGTGGGGGGCCAATATGAGGTTGACTCAATAATTTTCAATTAATTGATA